TCGTGCGCCTCTTCCAGGGGTAGGGCAACCTTTGAGCCTAGGCCACCTCAATGTTGCATTGGACGCGGAGAAACATGGGTGGTTCAGATGAAAGGTGTCGGGCGCATTGATAATTCAACGGCAATGCAACGTCGGTTTCGTTCATAAGGCTCGCACAGCTCGGGAGTTCAGGAGATGAAGAGGCTCGTGTTTGTGTTGGTGAGGGTCTGCAATTCCAGGAAATCTCGTGAATCTTCCCAAAGAGGAGGATCTGCGACAATAGGAGCCGGGAGGAGGAGCCGGGTTCCAAAAGCTATGCTTAGATCGTTGCGGCCCGGACAAGGCGGAATTGTACACAGTCGTTGTGCGAGGGCGTTGGGGTGCCCAGACGAGCCCATTCGCATTCCGTAATTTCGTATGTAGGGCAACGAGGAACGTGGACCAAGAGGCTCTTTTCTGGAGCGTGACGGTGGGCCGTGCCCCATCCGCATGGACAGACGCTGGAGCTATTATGAAGCTATTTCTGGCATCGGGAGGTTACCGGCGCCAAAGAGTGGGAGAGCCGGTGTGATGAAGAGCATCCCGCGTGTCCTTCTAGAAGGAGGGGAATGGCCGTGAGCCGGGGGAAGCCTGATTCTGACATTCTGCATCGTGGGTCCTCCAAGAGGCCAAGCCTCAAGGACGACGTAGGGCCGACGTGGACGGCAGTCAGCTTGTCATTGTCAGCTCTCGGGTCAGTCAAAAAGACAGACGTTGATGGCGGTCAGGGGTGGCGAGCAGAGCCGTGAAGAAGACTTTCGTTATCGTGCTTGCCACAACCTGGGTCGAGATCGAGTGGGTAAGCGCCGGCGTGGTGCCCATGGACTTAGGATGGCAGATAAGGTGCCACGGAGAAGGGCGAAGGGGGAAGCGAGGCGATGTGAGGCGAGGCGAGAAGGGGAAGCGAGAGGAGGGGGTCGGTAGTCGTCCAAACGAGGCTCGGAACCGGAGGAGATTCGATTCGAGAGGAGTGCCATGCTGCCGTGGACGACGGGTTAAAAAAAAAAAAAAAAAAACCAAGGCGATGGAAGGTGGCGGTCATGGATGATGGCTGCAGCATCGGGCGTGGGAAAAGAGGGGGAGGAGTCGGGATTGGCTCGGAAGATTGTGGCATTCGTGGGCGGTTGTTGTTCTTTTTGGACTTGTTTGTTTGTTGCTGACGCTCCTGCCTTCTCGAAATGGACGGCATCACGACGCTAGGCGGCGTGTTGGACTTTTGGGCTCCACAAACGACGAGTCCACAGTGGATGCTGATTTGCGAGAGTCCAGATTGCAGAGCAGAGGCACCCGCCGGTAAAAGGGGAGCCTAAGCCTGAGCCTGAGCCTGCATTGGCAGTTGCGTTGCTTGCAGATGCAGCCACGCAGGCACAACGAGCACGACACTGGCCAGAGCCGAGCGGAGAGACAGACACAGAGAGCGAGAGACAGGAGTCCATGGCCCATGGGTGATGACTGGTGAGGAGCAATTGCAAAGGAGAAGGAAAGAAGGCGACCAGGATCACACGAGCTCGCGAGTGCCCACGGGCCACTTACCCCTGCAGGGGGTCAATGAGCTTAGTTCACAAACGGCCAACGGCGGGCCAATGGACGGCGCCGTTTCGTGGCGTCTCTCAGGGAGGCCCCGCTCTTTCCAGGCACAGTCTGCGGCGATTGGTCAATGGCGGAAATTGCAGCCGCCCGTTGACGAATCGCTCGCGCCTGTCAGATGCGCTCAATCTTGGACCGTTGCCCCCCATCCCCCTCCATCGAGTCCATCGTCCATGGGCTGTGCTGGCCGCGAATGGAGAATTGGCCCGGGGCCGGGTCCACTGTGCCAATGGTTCAATGGTTTTCAATGGGGACCGAACTATGGATTTCGAGGAAGGGAAGGTGGGAGCAGAGAGGAGAGGAGAGAGAGAGCAAGCTGCAAGAGGAGATGCCAACTTCCGCTCCGCTGGCTGGCGGCTGTCCTCTCTTGTCCTACTATGTACCGCAGTAGACCTAAGGTAGCCAGCCAGTCCTGGATGACGAGGTGGCCTGCCATGCCATGCCGTGCCGGGCAGTTTCTCTGTCCTTGATTTGTGCGGATTGCTGCTGGGTTGCAAAGTGGTAATCAAAACTAACATCCCAAAAAGAACATATAGGATCATTACAAAGTAGACCCCCCCTGTCAGCCGCCCGCCCGCCCTGTGTTGTGCTGTCTGTCCATGTTATGCACCTCCGTCACTTGATGCTGCAGCATTGCGCCGTACCTTACATTACCACTACCACATGCCGAGCGTGAATAGCACCAATGAATCCTCTCATGCGTACCCGTAAAGTGTGCCTGCCCAGGAAAGGAATGGCTCCATCGTTCGTTCCTATTCCTGCTTGGCCCCAGTGTCTCTTCCCAGTCCCAATCCCAGCGCTACCACCCAGCCAGCCCAGAACCCGGCACGCACCTTTTCCCCCCCCCCCCCCAGCAGGCCGCCAGGCTCAGAGGACTCGAGGAGAGGTGCCCTGGACGGATTGGATGGAACCACCACACCGCACCCGCGCCAGCACCGCTTCTGGACCCGGCTGGCCATGGCTGCATGCTGGCTGAACCACACCCCCTGGTCGCTCATTTTCCAGGACATATCCTTCCTCACTTCCCTTCCGGATTCTTCTTCTCCTCTTCTTTCCCTTCCTTCTTCTTCAACAACTTTGTTCAATCGTCGTCGTCCTTGCTGTTACCGTTGCAGGACCGTGTTGTCATTCGCTCTCTATTAGCACCTACCCCAATACAGTCATTCCCTTAATCTCGTCCCTTTGGAATTCCAGCTCTTCACTCACTCGGCTGTCTTCCGTCCTATCGTTAATTCCGCTACTATCCTCCGATCAAGAAAATACCATACCAACCCATCCAAAAATACACACACGACACGAAAGACAAGTGCATTCTTTACGACTACTTCTGACGGCCCACCACCACCGAGAGAGGACTTAATCCCTTACGTATGTTCGAGACCTGAGCCAACGACCCTACCCACCACCCCTTTCGATCCCCCACGAGACACACCTTCTGGGACTGGGACCCCTACCGAACGTCTGGAGCATTGCGTTGGCCGTTGGCCGGTGAAAGAAGGGAGACTCGGAATGCGGTCCCCCTTTGTGTGTTGCCTCACAATGCTCCAGAATGTCTCGGTTGCCCGCCCGTCGCACCCTCAAACAACACAGCCAGCGCAACAAGCCCCTCCGTCCTTCGCGATGCTAACATGATCTCGCCCGACAGTTTCGTTCCCTCTTTAATAATTACCTCGAATACCGCTCCCTTCCCCGCCTCCGGCCAACTCCACCAAAAGGGATATTCTCAGTAATTAATACCAAGCGTCACGAAGCCGCCACAATGCCTTCCATCCAGAACCTCATCTCCCGCAACAACTCCCCCGTCGTCCGCCGCAGCGATTCCCACATCGTTGTCCGCCGCGGCGACGACGACGGCGGCGACATGCTCAACCTCATGATCGTCGTCCTCGCCCTCATCTTCTTCGCCCTCCTCCTCATCTCCACACTCTTCCTCATGCGCCGTATGCGCAGGCAACAAAGGATGCAGGAGCAGATGCTTCCTACCTACCAGGAGGTCAAGAGCGTCAGAAACCACCACAACCTTACCATTCAGACAAGCCAGGACGGCCGCTCAAGCGTCCTGTACATCGGCGGAGAGAACGGTCGCTCCCCCATGCTCCAGAACCCTGCGTCCGCCCCTCACTCCCCCGACAACGTTCCCGAGATCCACATCACCTTCCCCGATGAGCAGGACGAGGGTGGCCGTCGCAAGAGCGGCCGCGTGTTGGTCGTCCGTGTCGGCGACGGCGGCTCCGTCGGCCTCGAGCCCGTCCGCGAGGAGCTCCCTGCCTACGAGAAGGACAGCAAGTCGCAATTCTACTCCGTCGACATGGACTCGATCGGCGGTCTCCGCGAGAAGGAGCGTTTCAACTAAGCTTCTCCGCTCGATTTTCAACTTTCACCGGAATTACACCTTCAAGTGTCCCATCTGCCCGGACAAAATCTGTACAGATCGGCACCCGCTGTACAAAAGCATCCAGCAATTTTCTCATGGCATGGCGTTCGACGACACACACTTTATACCCTGCGCACCGACGACTTGGATTCAATGCACCGCCCGCAGACGGAGGGTCCGGCTTGCGTTTGCGGCGTTTGTAGTGCATCGGACTTTTTGGATATGGCTCTGGGCGCAAAACATCACGTACATATAAACTTAACGACTACCCCGGGAGGCCTGTCCCGCGGTGTGAACTAGGATTCACCGTGTGGTGGAGGCGATCGTCGGGCTGTAGAATACCCGTATTCTCTAATGCTGTATAATTCCACCGTTCTCGATCTGCCTGCTTCTGGTGACGCTGTGACTTGTTGATGCAACGTGAGCAACCGCTGGCGGCTGGCTCTGAATTAAGACGTTCAATCGATAAAGCTCGCTTCATTCGCTGGCTAGCCGCCTTGGTGTCCTTGGCATAGGTTGGTTGTCGAGAGAGCGAATTGCCGCACAGGTACCTCGCTCGTCTCGCAAGCCCGACCGCAGGTAGTTGATGTTGCTTATTTGACGGATCTACAAGGCTGCAAACTGACAGTGTTGATCGTAGAGCTCGGGTGACATATCGGTGGTTTATCGCAGAGATCGTCGACAACCCCGAATCAGATCACACCAACTCGACATGCTTGGACCCAGTTGTCAGGCCCCACCCTCGCCGGATCTCGCCGGGTAACATCCCCGGGTATCGGCTGTGCGACCTCTCGATGCGCATCGCCTTCTCAACGCCGCATCAACCAGTCGCAATCTTCAATTGAGATGACGAGTGGGTTAGCATGTCACAGACGTGGATACGGCATCGTCGCGGGGTCGACCTCGTGGTCGCCTATATCTTGACTTGTGGCCCTCCACCGGGCCGTCCTCGCCTCTACGAGTGTCGTTCAAGTCTCGATCCTGCGCAGTAGGCCGTCTTGCACATCTGCTCGTCGCCATCATGGCTCCGTCTTCCGAGATTCCTCCTCCCTATGAGCTACCTCCAAAGCCCAGCGGGCTGAAGGTGGACAAGCCCAACTTCATCATCTTCATGCCAGACCAGCTCCGCTACGACTCACTGGGCTGTAACGGTAACAAGGTGAACTGCTCCCTTCTCGCCTCCTCATCTTCACCGCACTAACAAGAACCGCCAGATCGTCAAGACGCCGCACATTGACAGCTTCGCCGCGGAGGGCACCCGCTTCACCAACTGCTTCGTCCAGGCGTCCGTCTGCACGCAGTCCCGCTGCAGCATGTTCACCGGCAACTACCCCCACGTCTCGGGCCACCGCTCCCTCGAGAACCTCATCAAGCCCTGGGAGCCGAACCTTTTCCGCTCCCTCAAGGAAAAGGGCGGGTACCACGTCGCCTGCCTCGCGCCCCGCGGCGACACCTTCGCGCCGACGGTGACGGAGATGTCCCTGGACGAGTACGGCTTCCTCGAGACCCCCGAGTTCGTGCCGCGCTTCGCGGGCGGCGGCAGGGCGGAGCCAGAGGAGAAGGAGGACATTTGGAAGAGGCTCTTTTACAAGGGGCTGAGGAACCCGAACGAGGCTCTGGATTATGACGATGCGGTCGTCAAGGGGGCGTTGAAGTGGCTGGAGCACCCGCCGACGGACAAGCCGTGGGTTCTCTTCATGCCGCTCATCTTCCCGCACTGCCCGTTCCAGGTGGAGGAGCCGTACTTTTCAATGTACAACCGTGGGGAGATGGGACAGCCGACCAAGCCCTCGGACAAGGTATGTGGTGATCTGCGAGGATGTATCATCCAGGGGGAGGATATCTTGACTGACACCACGAACAGACGGGCTACGAGCCGCGATACATGCAGCTGAACCGCGAACGCTACGGCACTCACCGCGCCACCCCTGAAATCTGGGCCGAGGTGATGGCGACCTACTACGGCATGATCTCCCGCCTGGACGACCAGTTCGGGCGCGTGGTCGAGCGCACCAAGGCCCTCGGCCACTGGGACTCCACCGTGACGCTCTTCTTCACGGACCACGGCGAGTACCTCGGCGACCACGGCATGATCGAGAAGTGGCCCTCGGGCCTCTCCGACTCGCTCACGCACGAGCCGCTCATCGTCGGCGGCGCGGGGCTGCCGGCCGGCGCGGTCTACGACGAGATGGCGGAGATGGTTGACCTGGTCCCGACAGTGTTCCAGTTTGCCGGCATCGGGGAGCACTTCCCGCACTGCGGCACGTCGCTGGCGGACATCCTGACGTCGGCGGGCAGGGACGGCAACGGGGACGTGATCAGGCACAAGGAGTTCGCCTTCACCGAGGGCGGCTTCCTGACGAGCGAGGAGCCGCTGCTGGAGCAGGCGCCGTATCCGTACGACATCAAGGCGGCGCTGCAGCACGAGGACACGACCGTCGTGGGCAAGAGCGTGTCGTGCCGCGACAAGCGGTGGACGTTCATTTACAGGCTGTACGAGCCGGCGGAGCTGTACGACCGCGCGGGCGATACCGGCGAGCTTCATAACCTTGCCGAGGTCGCCGAGTACCAGGACGTGAGACGGCGGATGGAGAGCGTGGTTCTGAGGTGGATGGTAGCTAGTAGCGACTTCTTGCCGTGGCAAAAGGACCCGCGGTTCCCTGCTGTAGAGATGCAGAGCGTTGCAGACCAGTTCAGAAAGAGAGGCGGGGTGCTGGAGGAGAAGCCGAAGAACTGAGTGTTCAGTTTCCTGCCATGCCTTGTAGTTCATTCAGACGTCATTATCTCACTGGGGTTCGAATGCGTTTGCTCTCCGGGTGTGTCTCCACTCTGGACCGGGTCGGCCTCCGAACGGTGGATTCGAACACCGTAATCCGGTCCGGTGGTACCTACCTTAGTCACAGGAGCGATAAGGTTGATGATTCGCCGGCTCAGCTGTCACACGGCATCTAATCACCAACTGGGGCCAAGCAATTTGACAAGACGCGACAGCTCGCCTGGAAATTGGTTTGTGGAACCACTCCACACAATAAGGCACAGGAACTACCGACGGACTGGAGCCAGCAGCAAGCCATTATTTGTAAAGGAGCGGCACGTCGAAAGGCGGCGCAGGGTAAAGCGGCACGAACAAGTCCAAGTGCAGCTGTAGGGGTGCGTTTTAGCCGCCACGATGGCCTTTGGCACGGATTTGCCCAGACATGCACAACCGCGGTCCTCGTCTTAAGTTTCCTTGACAATCTCGGTAGCATCTATTTCCAGGAACAAGTCATCGACCTGCATCTTGTCTGGTTTCCCTTGACAATTCGTTCGTGTTAATTCTCCTTCCATGCACATCCCGTCCCTGGGGGAAACTCTCCACCATGAAGATGACGAGACGGTGGACCCATCGGACCAGAGACAATCTGCTCCAAGATGCATGCATCGGGATTGCTCATGTGTGTGTGTTTTTAGATTCAACTTTAAACCACGAACATTCGACAGTGTGCAGAGGACATGCTACTCTTTCGGGAACATTTTGCTCGACTCTCCTTGGTGCCTGCTTTGTCTCGCAGCGCTGCGCCTGAAATCCTCCCACAGAAGCCGTTTGGAAACATTGCCCCATGCAGGGAAGGGGGAGCCAGGGTGCCCTTAGCTCCAGTGCTTAGCATCTTTTAGCTTGCAGCACCTGCAGCCAAAATGTCACTCTCGCCTAACAAGAAAGGTGCTTGTGTCACAGAACGTTCCCCCCTTGGATCTGCAACAGGCCCCCTTTTCCCCCGACCCCACACATGCTGGAGAGCAAGAGACGCAGAGAGCACGCTGCAGACAGTACGTACGGCCAACAGGCAGAGAGCCAGAGGGTGGGAACGGGTCATCTGCTACACATCTGACACGACCGCACAACCCCCTCGAACGCCCATCAACGAGGATCTTGACACAAGAAACAAAAGAGCCCGCCCAAGGCACGCCGCGCCCCGGTTCCAGCACCTCAAACGATGCAAACAACCCCAGCGTCCCATTGGGCCGGGGCCTGAACGGCTCCTACGGCCCTGCCACGCTGGTCGCGACTCGCCTAGCCTTTCCCTCCCTTCGTCTTCGTTACAACTTCTGGTCAGCGTTACCCGAGGGGCCCGTCACATCTTGGGTCTTTTGGGAAACCTGGAGATTGCCACGGGGGCCACGGGCAGCGCCAGGAGGAAACAAGGAGCAAGACAAGACGAAAGGATGTGATCCGGAGCGGATCCAACGAACATGCTGTACGAAGTAGCAATCGCTAACCCAAGATTCCAGGAACGATCAGCGAATGAACGAATGGGTGCGCAGACAGAAGACAGACAGACTCACGCAAACCCCCCAGGCACAGACGGCACACGGCTTGCCAAACTTTTCCCAGGTTCCGGGGTTGACGAAGCTCGCGGACCTTGTCACGTCTTCCCGCACCCACACGAGCATCGCCATCGCCAATCCTGCTCTAGTATCCCATCCACAGTTGCTACTGATGCTGCTGCTGTTGCTACTGCTGCAAGCTTCCAAGGTTGCTTGCCTGCTGCCCATGCTGACCCCCCGCGAGCATCCCAAACGCTGGTCCAGCCCAGCCCAGCCCAGCGCCGAGCTCGAACCCCGTCCCGCCATGCTTCAAGTCGAAGCGCGCCAAGGGTCCTGACGCTTCTGCTCTTAATGATCAACCCAGACTCTATATTATCCCATATCCCGCACACACCCGGACCTACTCATGAGCAGCAGAAGTCAGGTTGGGGTTCCGGGCAAAGATTAATGGGACGAAGTCACGTCTCTTTTTCCATTCCGTCTTTCCTCTTCTAGTCCATCTCTTCGTTGCGTTGTGTAGATCACAATCGAGAAACTTCTTTGTAATTATCCAAACGATACCAAGCTCCCTCTCCCCATCATGAAGCCCTCACTCATTCTCCTGGGCGCCGGCTCCACCCTTGCCGCCCTGCGCGACTCAATCTCTTCCCGCCCCGACGAGATCTGCATCTCCTCGCAACTGCTGGCAGCATCCTCCAGCAACCCGGTCTGCCGCAACAAGGACGGCCTCACCCTCTCACACTCTGACGAGGCCCAGAACCCGCTCAAGGGCTCTGCCACGAGCTTCAGCTGGACGAAGACGTCTCCCTGCTTCAAGAACGGCACCGAGTCTCTCGAGTTTTGCATCTTCCACAGCCAAACCTACGGCAACAAGGGCATTTCCATCATCACCGACGCTGAGCGCGCGGCACACATCACCCGCAGCTGGGGATTCACGAAACCCGAGTCTCTGGAGGGTACCAACCAGCCCTTACAAAAGTATCATGTCGCCAAGGTTCCGGGCAAGGATTATGGCCTGGTCGCTACTGTTCCCATCAAGCGTGGTGAGATCATTGTCAAGGAGACGGCCAGTCTGCTCATCGACTACGCCGCGTTCGCCAATGTGCCACCTGCGGAGATGAAGAAGATGCAGGCCCACGCGGTGGACTACCTCCCGTTCAACCATCGCAGCCAGTTCATGAACATGTCTGCCCACGGGTACCAGGGCGACCACCTGTCCATGGTCGACAAGATCCTCGTGACCAACTCGTTTGATGTCGAGATGGACGACGCCAAGCGTGACGATGACTTTTACGCCGTCTTCGTTAACAGTAAGTCTACATCCTTTGGCGTTCTGATGAATGACAGCTAACACATACCCAAAGCCTCCCGCATGAACCACGACTGCCGCCCCAACGTGGACTACTGGTTCGACCCCCGCACTCTCACCCAACGCACCACCGCCATCCGCGACATCATGCCCGGCGAGGAGCTCACCCTCTCCTACATCGACCCCATGCAGTCCCGCAAGGCCCGCCGCGAGCGCCTCCACGGCACCTGGGGCTTCCACTGCTCCTGCCACCACTGCACCCAGTCGCGCCTCAAGACGGACGCCTCGGACTTGCGCATCGAGCAGATCGCCCTGCTGCGCGAGGAGTTCAACGACTACACCCCGGCCTCCCGCGCGACGCCCCAGATGGCGGAGCTGCTCATCTCGCTGTACGAGCAGGAGCACAACTGGAGCTTGCTAAGCGAGGCGTACACGCTCGCCGCGATCGAGTACAACGGCATCGGCGAGCCGTGGCTCGCGACGAAGTACGCCCGGCTGGCGATCGAGTACGGCTTGACCACGCTGTGGGAGGGCCACGGGGACGTGATTGAGATGTCGAAGCTTGCCGAGGACCCGTGGGCCCACTGGAGCTGGATGCTCAGGACGCGCAAGCGCTACAGCTGGGGAGAGAAGCGGGTCGTCGAGGTTGACGAAGATGACGAGTAAATGAGACGGGATCGGGTTTCAGGGCGAGATGGGTAAAAAGAAAAAACAACAACACATGTATCAAAATGTAGATGTGTGTATACACCTGTGCGATGTCATCGGTTTTTGGGGGCGGGGTACCTTTTTGGAATCGGGCGTCAGGAAAAGGCGTTGGGGTTCTTTTCTCGGTTGGGACAAATAGCATTGGATATGAGACTGCAAAAGAAATACTTTCACTACTTCGATTTGTGCTTTTTACGCTGGTGACCTTGCTGTGTGTTTAATTGCTTGTGAGAAGTCGTCATTATAAGTTGTTATGTGCTCGAGGCCGTATTTGCCTGGATCTCAAAGTCCAAGCACACGGTTCATATTGATTAAACGCACCGACCCCGACGTCATCCCCTAAGCAGCTCACTTCACGTGGTGAGGTGAGACTCACGTGCATCCCCCAAGTCGACACCTCAAGTCTTACATCGCAAGACATGGTCAAATATTGAATCGTGTATCGTGATATGGAATTATCTATCGTAGAACGGACGTCTTTATGATCATCATGCTTTACTTCCTTATGTTCTCAGCCTCTGTCCAGCGTGCCCTTCGTCGTGACCCGGGTATCAAAAGCCAAGCGATGCAAGCCACCCACAAACCTTGTCACTCCAAACTCCCAATCAAAATCGAACCAACAGGAAGAAAGAAAGGCAAAAAAATCTAAAAAGTTAGAGACGGGAGGTGAGGTGCTTTGCCATCTGTGTGCCACGGCGTCGTGACTGTGCGGACTTCCAGCCTCGCCCCTGCATGTCGTCTGGCCACCTCGGTCCATGCCTCCATCGTCCGCTCCCACGGCCTGAAATCAAAACTGCTCGTCCACACAAGGCTGGCCTTATCACCGTTGACGCGGTACTCGAGCTCGTGCTTGCCGGCATACATCAGAGGCCGCTGCTTGATAATCATGTGTTTGAGCTTGGGCATTGTATAAGCCAGTCTCGCGGCGGCCAGCGAGACGCATTGCCGAAACTCGACGAGATCAGAAGACTCGTTAATGTCGTCGCCCTGCTTGTGCCACTCCGTGTTGTACCAAATAGACCCGTAAGATATGTTCAGGGTCTCGAGGCGCCAGTGTACTGGTTCGCAGAGCTTTGGAACGAATGGCTCCGTGTCATCGACACCGGAGGGCCAGTGAGGCTTCAAAAACTCGCGGACACGCACAACGTTGGTGATGTTCAAGTGCTTGAGAAAGTGGGCAGCTCTGCGCAGCTTGTCGCAGAGCTTGGCACCGCTGTCGGCCTCTGCCAGGGTCTCGTGGGGGATATGGCGCCACGACGATATCGTGTTGGAGGAGATGGTGAGTTTCTCCAGAGAGAGCGGCCACGCCGCCATGGACCCGGCGAACTCTGAACATGGTCAGTGAAGGGCAGAGCAGCACACCCAACGCCGGCAGCTTACGGTTAAAATGTATCTTGCGCGTCTCCTTTCTCCTATCTTTGAGAATGTCGAAAGATGCTTCCCGCAGGCACGGCAGCCTGGCCACGATGTCGGCGTGGGCGGCAGGCATCAGCGCGCGGTGGTTCTGAGGGCTCGCCAGGAATGAGCGAATAACGTCGACCCTTGGGAGCGGGTTGTTGCGGGCAAACTCCTCGTCGTGGCCAACGAAATCGATCCACGAGTCGGCGAAGCGCTTCTCGCCAATGTCTTTGATGTTCCATCTGCGTCTCTGCCAAAGCTCAAAGTTTGCGTTGCGAAGATCGCTCGGTGAGGATATACTCAGAGTCAAGTCGACGCCTTCCCGACAGGCCTCACTGAAAGTCCATGAACTCATCAAACGAAACAAACCATGAACGGCTTTGGTGAAGCACATGTTGTTCTCGAACTTGTCTTCCCAGGTCTCCTTCTTTTCGCAGGGATCATTGTCGTAATTTGGCAGCTGGACGTGGAGATTGATTTGTTTCAATAGGCCGCGGCGAGAGCCGACCATACAGGCCTCGAACTCATTGAGGCTCTCTTGGGTGACACGCAGAGCAGAGAAGTTATATCGCTCGACGAGGGCTTGCCATTCCTTGCAGACGGAGGCATAGGGAGCGATGGACTCTTGCTCATCTGCATACCGCCAGTGGTCGACGAGAGACTCAACGACGGTGGCACGGAGTTCCGGGGGGAGCTGGTAGAACCTATCCATCATGCTCGCTCAGGCTGAGGCACCGTGTTTGGCAACTGGAGAGGCAAGGGCAGGAAAAGAGTGTCTGCTGGCCCTGCGGCGAGGCAGGTGAGGTTGCGGGATGAGACGACAGGAGGTTGACTTGAGTTCGGGTGTGGCCTGCCAGTCCGCTGAGGCTGTGGTCGGTAAGAGTCGGTCAGAGCGAGGCAGGGCGGCGTTGGTAGCGGCAGGCGGGGATGGTGCACCTGATCCGACCCTGGGCCTGAAGTGAGTAAGGTAAGGTGAGAGAGGTGCTGGACTGGACTGGATTGGAGGCCCAAGGTGACGGAGACCTGGAGGTACAAGCGCCAGAGCAAGTGGTTGGGTGTCGAAGGGAGGCTGTGGAAAGTACCTCCCCAACTCCCGCCTCTGACGGTCCGCCGGGATGTACAGCGCAGGGCCGTGTGCGTGACCCACTGGACCGTCGACAAGTACCGGGCCGCTCCTCAAAGAGGTGGTAATGAGTGAGGGACCTGTTATCGCAGAGTGCGGGGTCGACGTGGCAGGCGGCGGAAACTTTGGAGAAGTTCAAGCGTTGGCGGATTGCTGATGCTGTAGTCGTGATGCTGGCCGTCAGGTCAGAGACTGAGGTGCAAAGTAGGCAAGGTAGGTAGGTATGTGGTTGTCCAAGGCAAACGAGGAGCCTCCAGATGAAGGAGGTCACAAAGGAAGGCGCCTTGAGGTGTGTACCTTAGGACGGGAGGTTGTAGCCGTAACCACGGGGTACCTCCCGTCTCCCATCCCCCTCCTCACTGCACTGCACCGCTCCTCCTGCCAGCCGCCCCCTGCCGCCAAGTCCTATCGCAGCGCATGCCGTTATCTCAAGCGGGCCCCACTCCAAAAAGATGGATAAGGTAAGGCGGTTATCGATACGACACACCTGACTTTATCGATATGGGACCTCCCTTAGGTGACTAACTACCTTACGGCGAACGGATAGTAGTCGACGAGCCATCATTTATCCAACACGGAGCAGGGCCAGGTTCTCTCGTCGACAATGATTCAAGGGTTCCGTTCCGTCCCGCAGATTAAAGGAATTGAGGGCCATCCAGTTTCGTAGTCTGTTCGGATGCCTCCAGGTTCCATAGTTAAGCATAAACCAGACTCGAGCCGATCTCCCAAAGATGCCAGGCCAGGCCAGCGCTTGACACACTGCTGGCTGCACTGAAGCGGCCCAGTGGCCACTTCTCCTGGTCTGAGAGACAGAAACCCACGTCTCGTGGCACAGCCCAGGCCCGGACCAGACCAGGCCAGGCTTGCCAATTGCCAGACCACTTCAAGACAAGCCTGACAACACCCGACAGCCTCCCAAACTGCTCTCGACGGCACGAAACGGCACAATCACCGCCAAGCCTGACGCTCCAGCCAGCCGCCAGCCTCAGGTCCAACCAACACTGACCCGAGGGAGCACTGTGAGTGTGAGGTATTCCAGTGGCGGGGCGGATGCTGGACGGAACCACCTCACCGTTCACATCCAGCGTTGCGGCCTGGAACCAACTGTGCCGATGGGTTTCACAGCGCTCCTCGGGGTCAGTCACAGGCCACATCTGCACTGAACGAGCAGCGGTGGGGCAGGTTCCAGCGGGGCTCCCTCACTGAATCAGGGCTAGTGCGGGGTTCCTGCTGCGCCCACTGCTGGCATTTCTGGGCCGGCAGCATCTCACCATTTCCCACCTGTCCCAGTCCCAGTCCCAGTCCCAGTAACAGTCGCAGTTCCAGTTCCCCCATCCCAACCCATCCCATCTCATTCCATCCCGCCCCATCCCGGCCAGGTAGTGTGCTCCAGCCGGTCCTCTCACCTCAGCCAGTCCCAGATCTGGGTCCTGATTGATGTGCTGCTGCTGTATCCGTGTTCCTTAGGCTGTGATCCTCAGGCTGTGAGAGGGTGAATTGCAGTGAAGGTGCTAATTATATGCGCGTGTGAGGTGGGGGGGCAATGAATTGGAGTTGGAACCCTTGTTCGCGCCAGCCAGCCTTCGCAGGAAGCTCCGATGACGAAACCCAGGTAGAGGGCGCAGCCTCTTTTCTTTTCTTTCTTCATCTTGCTTCACCTTCCATTCCTCCCTCGCCATCGTCTCTGCACCCGCCCACATTGAGATAGATCCCTTCGCCAATCCTTGTGCCACAAGAACACCAGACCTGATGATTGAAGCCGCCACCATCCCGTCCGCTCCTGCCATGGCAGACTCCTCAAAGGGCCTACAGGCCCTGCGCGAGTCCAAACCCCCTGCCACCGACACCTTCACCTATCTGACCATCATCGGCGAGGTCCTGTCTCCTGAGATTCTGCCAGAGCTCAACGACATTTTGCAAGATGCACAGCTCACCCAGGACATCGGATGGGACCTGGTCGAGATGCTCGTCCCCATCCAAGGGAGCGAGCAGTGTCTCGAGACCATTGCGCAGCTGGGCAACCCGCGCGAGGTCATCCTGAAGGTCCTCGAGGTCCTCGAGAAGAACGTCGACGATGCCACAGACGACGAGGACGACGACCAGACCACGGCCACATTCGTCAACCTCGTCGGCATGCTCAGCATCCTCCACAAACGCCTGAACGTCGCGCGGCCCTCTCGCTTCGTCCACACAACCCTCCAGAGCGTCTACCGCACCTACCATCCCCGCAATCCTGAAATGACGGCCGCAGTCATCGCCCTTATCCGCTCCTTGTCAGGCGAAAAGCGACCACCTCTGCCCACTCGCCAGTCGAGCAACAAGCTCGACACTCCCTTCACATCCAGCGACCCCACGAAGCACGCACCTGACCCCGAGGCGGGGAAGTCCCAACAACTCGCGCCAACCGAGCCGGCCACCACGAAGCGGCTCCTGCAGTCCTTCATCACCTGCATAATCGAGGCCTATGTCAACTGCACGAGCATGGAATGGGCCTCCCGCCTGCTCGAGTTCTACAACCCGGAGCGCGTCGTGATCCGGAAAAGCATGTTGCGCGCCTTCAAGGAGGACGACGACTTTTTGGCCAGGGACGCTCTGGTTGGCCAGCTGGTGGTATGTACAAGCCTTCGTCCGATGTTAGCGTTGCGGACGGACGAACTGCTAACAATTTAACTAGGCGCTTGCAGGAGATCTCGGATTAACTCGAGTACATGACCTGTCTGTCAAGGAAATCTTCGAAGGTTCCATCGTCCACAGCCCCCTGTCCATCGATACCGATGCCCTTAGCCCCTCCGCCATCAAGCTTTCCACCGGAGGCGTCTGGTGCCTTGTGGCGTACTGGCTCTTCTCGGCGGAAGTCTTTGATGCCGATTACGAGCAGGTGCAGATGACAATTTTCCCCGACCACAACAAGCTGTTGCAGGGCTTCCTCGGCGATGACCCCCAAACCCGCATCGTGGGCAACCCGGGAACGACAGAAGCCCTGGTCGTGATGGGGCTGTATTTGGAGAACTACAAGCGCATATCGCCATCAGACGGCCACGGTGACTTCATGCCCTACCACCACCTGTTGACACTGGTCTCGGTGTTCCATCCATCTCTCACTGTGCGCAACGTCGCCACGACCCTCGCCGGCCTCGTCCTGCACGACGACCCTGACGACAACGACCGCCTGAAGATCTTGGAGGATCTCCTCGAGAACTGCATCTTCTCCGCCCTGCAGGCCTCTGCGGTGACATGGCTGCGAGAGGAGGTGATTATTGCGCATAAACGCAAGCTTACAAACAGATTCGCGTCAACGGACGCCATTGATACCCTTCAGTACGCATTGTTTCCCAACCTGGCCTTCCTCAAGGACCAAGACGCCACCGCTCTCTGGGAGTACTGGGTGCAAAACTTCCCCTTCCACCTGCAACTCGCCAACTTTGCCTACTTCCTATTCGCCGGCACTGAATTCCAGCACCTCGTACCAGCGAGCATGCCGGGTGCCGTCGAGCAGCGCTACGTAGAGCCGCTGCTGCATGCTGCCAAGACGCTACAGGCAGCCGTGGAAAAGAAGGAGATTGACGACCAGGGACAGGGCGGAGAGGTATTCACGCAACTCGAAATCTTGACGATGCGATTAAAGAGCTTGCCCCTTCAGTAAGCTTCGTGTACATCAGCCGCCGGACATCAAGGGAGCCACGGCGCCGGCAAGCCGAATTGCTCTCTGATACAAGGCCTTGCATTTTTGGGCGTGGGTTATGACGGAGTTTCTTATGAATTACGAATCACCTAGGCTGCTGAGCAACGAGCAGCACGCAATCTAAAATCACAGTGCCAAAGCTTGTTGACCTGGTTTATGTGATCTTCGATGATGATGTGTGCTCAACGCCGGTGCTTACCTGAGGTGCGGGTTGGTGGTGACTATCTCAATAATCGTGGCTTTGCGGGCGCGGGCCACGTTGATACTTTCGGTGTCCATTACTGGGAGGGCTGTGTCGGCACCCATCCAGCAATCTTAATCGAGACAACTAGCCGTGGCTTTGCTCGACGTTGCTGGACGTGGGACTGGACACATCCATCATACTCGCCTGCTAACTCCCCCACAATCATCTCAAAGGCAATCTTCCTCTCTTTAAACCTTTTCTTCCTCCTCCAGCCTTGTTCCTAACCGGAGCTACCCGTGGCATCCGACGATGACAGCCAGCCTCACTTTGCGAATCCCTCTACGACACGTTACTCCACGTTCAAATTTGCAACCGAGACCCCGCGCGAGTGCTGTCGTTTCGATACTGCTGTCTGAGCACATACTTTACATGTTTCTTCAGCGCATAAAGTGTATCTCTGGTCGACTTGGAAGGCCACACGTTAGTTGAAGGAGAGGCAGCTTGGCAAGACTGTCCCTCATGTGGGAGTTGAAACCCTTCCATGGGCGATAATTCTACAGACCACAAACAGACGGCGACTCATCCTGTTGCATCGGCACCGCTCGCACGTGTCGTCTTATCCCCCACGCAGGACGTGACGAAGGAGCTTCGTGGTAATGGATGAAGTCCAAGCGGAACGCACACTACCTTGAGGGTCCGGTTCGGGCCTCCGAGAACCGCATTGTTTCGCAAGTTGGAAACTCTTTCCGTCTTGCCAAGCGCCCAAAGTGCCCCCCGTCGAGAGAAGCTTGGCTCACACTTGGTGAACGCGACGTCAAGTGTGGCGAGGGCGTTACGTGGCTGTGCTTTATGGACATCCCATCTGCTCAGCCCATTGGCCTGCCGAAAGCCAATTGCAAAAATGTGGATCTTTGTTGTGGCGCCGCCAACGACACATGCGAGCAATCACGTAAAAGCCCAGAACCTGGAAGGCGACATAGGCCAGGACGTGCAGATTTCGTCGCGCCGCATCTCAAGGGGTTTGAGCCAATTTGCTACAGATAGACGGCCGGCAATGTAGACCCAGTCTTCAAGCGCCCGCTGTGGTCGAGGTTGCAACTTCAGTCGTCACTCTTGTGCCTGGCACTGTCCGACAAGAACCGGCCGGCAGTGTGATGATGATGGGCGCGAAGTGTGTGTTGTCAGTGAGGCATGGTACGCAGTAACGTTCAACACACAAGAGATTGGTGGTGGGTTGATTCAACGCGAAGTGTGGTGTCCGGGACAGAGTCTCCGGCCAACCAGATCGCTTACCCCTGCACGGACCAATGCGGTCCAGCCAATGTAAATCTCGGCGCACGGTCCGGAGGGCCACTTTCCATTTGACAGGGATCCACCCTGGCACTGGGCAGGCCTGGCTAGCCCGCGAAGCCTTTTAGTGTGATCGGGAGGTGATGTCATAATGCCAGGGGCTGGAATTTCGTAGCAGCTCAGACTTGCTGCTGCTTTGGAAACGGGCTAGCACTGTGCGGCCGGCTTGCAGAAGCTTGCTTTTTGGTGTGAAACTCACCCGTACTGAGGCGCTCGAGACGGGCCCGAACAGGTCTCTGGCGTGTGCCGACAATACGCAGGGCGTTGCCGCTGTTCCTTTATTTTCTCCGTCTCCTCGTTGTCTACGAAGTAGCTTGCCCCCAGCTAACGCCCCCTGGCTCTGCCGTACGTCAATCTCTGTGGTAGCATGACAACTGGCCAAGCACACCGGTGACGCGAATTCTGTGGTTACATTCTTCGCTCCGAGCAATAATCTCTTTTGTTGTGGAAGCCCGCCCCTTCATGGCGACACTGAACCACCGCGACTGACCCGAACCACGCCATCACCAAATCTCGAAGACCGCAGCAGCATATCCAGTCAAAAATCAATAACCCCAAACGAAAGACCGCCTAAGAAGGTCGACGCCATCATGGCGAACCCACTTCCGACGGCGAACGTGGCCCTAGGCCAGACGGCAGATTCAGAAGCTGCCTCGACGCCGCAGACCGAGAGCCTTCACATCGACGAGATCAACGACGGCGGCCAGCAAGTGGCCGTCCTCAGAGACGGGAACAACAACATTGTCTACCCGTCCTACGTGCCTCCCGAGATTGACTCCCCTACCAATGCCGCGTCTCCCCGGACACCAAAGTCCGCAAACTTTCCCAATGCACCGGCACCAGAAGCGGCCAAGCCCCGGAAGACAACTTCAGACCCGACAGCTCTCGAGCAGACGAAGGCGCCCGCCTCCACCGGGGGGCAAGATCGCCCGCCTATGGACGCAAGATCGAGGACGGAGGCTCCTGGCCGCAAGACGAACCCACAAAATGCGCCGTTCCCTACTGTGCCCAAACGGGCGGGGACCTCCTACCTGAACAAGGCAATCTGGCAGGCGAACACGCAAGATTCGGACTCAACGAGCTCGAGCGACTCTTCTGATGATGAAGAATCAAGGACGCCAGCCGAACAGAAGGCTGCCGAGGAAAAGGCTCGGGCCAAGGCAAGGCGTCGACAAGAGTCCGCGGATCGCTACAGGCGGTTCCGTGTAGGAAACGACAACTACAACACCAAAGGCAAGGTCAAGCGAGATGGCCGTCTGAGGATCTCGGTCAAGGAGACGGCAAACACAGGATATCTCGCCAAAGCTTTGGGCCACGCCGTCAAGAGGGTCGTACCGATCCACGAAGGCCAGGAGGACGGGGAAGAAGCCCGACGACCTGATTTGTCTCGCTTGTCATCTGCCACAACGGCCACCGATCGCGAGCCGAAGCCGCGGCTTAATATCGTAATCATGGTCATTGGCTCACGTGGCGACGCACAGCCGTTTCTGAAGATCGGAAAGATTCTAAAGGAGGACTATGGACACCGGGTGCGCATTGCGACCCACCCGGCTTTCCGCGAGTTTGTCGAGAAGGACTCCGGCCTCGAGTTCTTCTCCGTCGGTGGCGACCCCTCCGAGTTGATGGCCTTCATGGTCAAGAACCCCGGCATGATCCCCACTCTCGATGCCGTCAAAGCCGGAGACATTGGCCGGCGAAGATCGGCCATGGCAGAGATGTTTGAGGGGTTCTGGCGGGCCTGTATCAATGCGACGGACGACGAAAAGGACGTCCACAACCTCAAGATGATGGGCCAGAGAGACCCATTCATTGCCGACGCGATCATTGCCAACCCGCCCAGCTTCGCACACGTCCATTGTGCTGAAGCACTCGGTATCCCTCTCCACCTGATGTTCACTTTCCCTTACACGCCGACGCAAGCGTTCCCGCACCCGTTGGCGAGCATCAAAAAGTCCAACGTGGACCCGGGATACACAAACTTCATCTCCTACCCTTTGGTTGAGATGATGGTCTGGCAGGGACTGGGCGATTTGGTCAACGACTTCCGAGTGAAAACACTCGGACTGGACCCGGTCTCGACACTCTGGGCCCCAGGCGCAACCTACCGATTGCACGTCCCGTTCACGTACCTCTGGAGCCCTGGCCTCGTGCCGAAGCCCCAGGACTGGGGCGACGAGATTGACGTCTCTGGCTTCGTGTTCCTCGACCTGGCCTCGTCTTTCGAGCCGCCCAGCGACTTGGAAAAGTTTCTCGAAGCAGGAGACGAGCCCATCTACATTGGGTTCGGCTCAATTGTCGTCGATGATGCCGATCGCTTCACGCAGATGATCTTCGACGCCGTCGAGATGGCGGGGGTTCGCGCTTTGGTGTCCAAGGGATGGGGTGGTCTTGGCGGAGACGAGATGGACGTCCCCGATAACATTTTCATGTTGGAGAACACACCCCATGACTGGCTCTTCCCCCGTGTCAAGGCATGTGTCATTCATGGCGGTGCCGGAACCACTGCGATCGCCCTCAAGTGCGGCAAGCCCACCATGATTGTTCCCTTCTTTGGCGACCAGCATTTCTGGGGCAGCATCCTCTCCAACTGCTCTGCGGGCCCCGAGGCGGTGCCCTACAAGCACCTCACCGCCGAGAAGCTTGCCGAGGGCATCAAGTACTGTCTCACGGAGGAGGCGCAAGAAGCAGCCGGCAAGGTCGCCAAAGACATTGAGCTAGAAGGCGATGGCGCCAAGAACGCGGTGCGCTCGTTCCACCACCACCTCAACCTGCAGGGTCTGAACTCCATGCGCTGCTCCGTTCTCAGAGACCGGGCCGCGGTCTGGACCCTGAAGAAGACCAATATCAAGCTCAGCGCTCTGGCCGCCGATATCATTGTCGAAGAGGGACAGATTTCGTGGAAGAGGCTCCGGCTGCTTCGCCACATGGAGTGGAACGATTTCGAGGGTCCCGGCGAGCCCGTCACTGGCGTAGCTGGTTCTGTCGCCGGAACGTTAGGGAACGTGTTTGGTGGTGTGGGGAGCGTTCCCTACAAGCTGGCAAAGACATCTCGTAAGCGAAAAGAGAAGAAGGAGAAGAAGAAGAGGCTCAAGGCGATGAGGGAGAAGCGTACGTCGGCAAAGAAACAGGATTCGGAAGCCAATGGGCACGCGGAGACCGAGAATGACGTGCCCAAGGCGTTGAATAGGCAAGAAGGCGATTCCAGTGAGAACGAAAACCAGGAAGCGCAAAACGGCCATGCCAAGGAGGGTACCAAGAAGGACTCTCAAACAAATGGCAACGCAGCTTCAGGAAGGCCCGGCCAGGGCGACCGCCGCGACACCATGTCCTCGGTCGAAACCGCCACGACGGTCGACAATCCCGTCGAAGACTACGCCACCGAGGTCGGCGACGGCGTCGGCAAGACGGCCTCAGCCCTGGCCCGCGCCCCGGTCGACCTGTCCATGGCCCTGGCGCAGGGCTTCCACAACGCACCCCGCCTCTACGGCGACGACACCGTCCGCCGCCCGCCCCGCGTGACGGGTATCCGCTCCGGTCTCAAGGCGGCCGGCAAAGAGTTCGTCTTCGGCATCTACGACGGCACGACCGGCCTCGTCCGCCTGCCCGCGCGCGGAGCCAAGAAGGACGGCTTCACGGGTTTCGTCAAGGGCACCGGCATGGGCCTGACGGGCTTCGTCCTCAAAGACCTCAGCGCCATCATCAGCCCCGTCGGCTACACCCTCAAGGGGATCGTCAAGCAGACGGAGCGCCACAAGCAGCCGGACCGGGTCGTCCGCCGCGCGCGCATCGTCCAGGGCCAGCGGGAGCGGCGACAGCTCGGCGACCGCAAGCGCGAGGTCGACAAGGAGGTCATCACGGGCTGGCTGACCATCCGCGAGCTCATGGAGGCCCTCGAAGTCGAGGAGAAGAAGAAGGGCATCACAGGCCGGCTGTCCTCCAAGAAGCAGCGCGTCAACCACGCCGCCTTTGAGAGCGTCGACATCGCCGAGCGCACCCTCACCGCCCTCAGAAAGGGCGAGGACATCAGCACCGTCGTCGGCACGGAGAAGGAGCTGCGCAAGACGGACGAGAAGCGCAAGAGCCCCGCCGCGAGGCACAGCGTCGACACGAGGCGGTCGGGGGAAAATGACCGAGGACGCAAGTCTGCCGAAAGCCCGCCGAATACCACGAAGGATGACAGCGCCCTGGTCGAGAACAAGACGGGCGAGGCGCAGGCAGAGGCGGATGCGGAGGCAGCGAGCAAGTCTGAGCGGCCGGGTGTTGAGCGCTCGACGTCGCTGCAGGCTTAGCATGCCCGAGATCCATCGTGGATACAGCGAATTTTCTTTTGTCGCTCAAAAAGATACAGAAACTCTTAGGCATGTCCATGGCATGCGCGTTTGGCGTTTGGGATTCTAGACGTTCAAATTATACCCAGTTTAGTTTTTGGCAGTATTGCGTAGGGAGTTGTAGGGAAGCGAAGCGCAGTTAACGTAGTTGGAAACAATTCGGGTAAAAGTAATCAGCTTCAATCACGCATCACTTGGACTCTCTTGCATTTCATTTTAACGTGACCGTGTTTTTTATTAGGTATTAGTTACGGATGTGGGTATGATGTTGTGCGTTTGGCCGTCCTCGCCACGCCGAGCCCAATTCTATCGGCTCCATGGTCTTCCACTTCTACGCGTCCCCATACCGACATGATTACTTAGAGACCTCCTCACGGAAAACCCGGACCTCCTGACAGGCTAGGTAATGTTAGCAAGAATCAACATGCCAAAGCAGGAGAAGACATACTGGGATTGACGGGTGCACCACCGGTGACCCAAACGAGAGCTTGGTAGTAGTAGTTGCCGACAAAGGTCCAGCAGACGTGCCAGCGGTAGTACTTTTCCGCGGTGTAGTTGACCTTGTCGGGGACAGCCTTGGAATCGTCCTGGCGACTGTAGATGAAGAGCTCGTTGTCGTCGTCGTCGAAGCCAAAGCTGTAGATGCCCGTGGTGCCGGGAGAGAAGATGGGAATGGCCCCGTTGCTGACCAACTGAAGCTGGAGGTCCAGAGTCGTAGGAACAGGGTCACCATTGCCGATGGGCAGGTTCCAAATCAGAGGGCCGAGAGTAGGCTGGCTAGAGCTGGTGGTCATATTCCAAAAGTACTCTGAGTGAGTTTGCGCGGAGCCATTAGTGCTGCGCTCAGGGCAGAGACCAGCTTGGCCAGCTCCAGAGTGGCATGATGCGAGGTAGGTCCCCTTGCATGACGGCTCGCTACGAGGCACGTACTTGAGGTAGAAGGGTGAAGACTGCGTTGTCTCTTGGGCAGAGACCAGGGCGGCGCCCAGGAGAGCAAAGACAGCGGTGGCCTTCATTTTGTCGATAGAAGAATGGGTCGAGATTGTTTGTGTTGGAGAGACAGAGGGGAGAAGTGATGCTGATGGAGATGGAATGTGAGTGAGTGGAGGGCGGCAAGTTGAGTCTTATACTGAGGAGAGGAGTCGTCGATGTGCCTTGATGATGGCTTCGTTGCGAGAATACGAGTTCTGTCGGACAAGGCTAGCCAAAGACGGGTTGTGGATGGTATGTCGTTGGGATGGAGGTGGGAGATGTTCGAGAAGATGGAGGGGTCTAAATAGGGATGGCGGGCAAGGCGAGAAGACGGTGTGCTTCCTTCTGCACACTACTCTCTCCACGACTTGGGGCATGGTTCCTTCTCCGCCATGTCGTCAGTCAAGCAACAGGCAAGAGGTCCCAAGGGAGCCGCAACCTTACCGTCGGAACCCCGCTGATTTGCTTTCCTGTGAGGTACATTGCTTCCTCACTCGGAAGCAGACAGTTGGGTGCTGTTACCTCAGGGTAGCATGGCATCCAACCAGTCGTATGAGCCGGGCGACCCGGAGCCTTTCCAAATGTCTGTCAGGCTGAAAGGGGAAAAGGGAAAGGGAAAGGGAAGCTACTCGCTGGGGCATGTCGATCACCACCCGCCCACAAATCGGCTCCGATGGACATGGAGCTAGGAGGGAACGAGCCAGTGAGGGAGGCGGCAGCTCGACTCGGTGAAAAAATCTGGGGAAACAGCTGCGCAGGCGGATGTCTGATTTGGATCGTCACACAGGGTCGCACTGCGTCAGCGGCCCTGCTCCACCCGTAAACGACTGATGGCATCGTCGGACGGCAATCACGCTTGGTGTTCAAGTCATGGCAACCCACAATTCCAGCCACGCCGCTTCGCGTGGATCGGAGTCCAACTTCCGCAGTGTGGGTTGATCTGAGATTGATGATTGAAAAGAGGGGAATGACAGTCTAGAACCGAAGCTTCCTTCAGGAAAAGAAGCATAAAATCTTGTTTGGCTTCTCCAGTGGCAGCTCCAGTGTCCTCCCTTGCGTCGGCGTCGTGGGTACGCAACGGAGCGCCCGCCACATGCACGTCATGGATGCCGGGAACCGCGATTGCGGCTGAACGTCAAATGTCACCCTGGGGCGATCACAAACACCGCGTTTGCAATTTAGGCATTCGAGACAAGAGGCGGATTTCCGCTCCACTTTCCCAGCGTTGGGTATTGCAGGAAATTCAGCCCGAGGGCGTTTGCAAGGGGGGCAAAGAGCGGACACCATGTGTTTGTGAGACATGACGTTGAAACCAGCACTCTAAACACGCGAATGGTGCCGATGGCCCGGCCATGATGCTTGGCTTCCCGTTAATCTCAGCGGTTGCCGGACCGAGACATGAGCTTAGCATACGGGTTTAATGAAAGGGCCGAATGACAACAAACGGGGGCGAGAGGGCGGTGCAACCCGGGACCAGCAAGCTTTGGGCGACTGCGGGGAGAATCGCAGGCATCCAAGAAATACTTTTGCTGCCGAACGCTGATCTCCCGTATCCTCCGCACCGGCGAGGGCGATCTCGCGGCCGTTGCTGACAGACGCCGGTTCTGGGGTGAGCAGCGTTGCCGAATGCGGGAAGGAATCAAACGCCGCTCGACTCTTCGCAGAATGCTCCCTTTCGGGCCCAGTTTGCCTAGCCTAGTCAAAATGGTCTTGCAGGCTACGTTACATTACTTTCAAAATATCATAAAAGTATCCGCCATCTCATTTGGGCAGCTAGTTGTCATCGATTGAGTCGTGTATCTATCATTCAAGCTGAATTATGTACAATGAAGATGTAAATGCCAAGGTTTCCAAACAGCCAGAAGGCCGTTAAGCATAGTCTATAAGACGTCACGCCTTAATTGCAAACACCGGAGCTGGCAATGGAGTTCAGGTCTGTAGGGACAATACCTGCGATGACAGCATCTAGATCATTGTTAGCATTGAGCAATTCACTCTAGCGTGAGTTGACATACCTCTGTAGGACCACCGGTAGTCTCCAAGCTGAGCCTTCCATGACCAAAACACCCAGCCGGCGGTGTTCTTCTCATAAGAGTGCACCTGCGCCGCGAACCACTTCTTGTAAAAGTCCTTTTGCGTGTCCTTGCTCCAGCCGTCCGTGTTCTCGACCGAGTCCGGCGGGCTGATGCTCCACTCGCCGACGAGGGTGGGGCCGGAGGAGTCGCTGTTGCGGTTGTCGTTGCACGAGGTTGAGATGTAGTCGGCGTGCGTCACGGGCACGTTCGTCGCCCACTTGAGGTAGCGGTGGTCGTCAAAGGCGGTGAAGTACTTGTCGTCCAGGAACTCGACCGGGTTGCCTGAGCCCCAGAGCGTGTTCATCATTTGGATGTGGAAGTAATTGTTCGCCGAGACGCCGAGGTCCTTCTCGACTTGGCGGATGGCCTGTGGAAAGCATGTCAGCGAGGTGGTCTCAGGGTATGATGATGGAACACTCACGTTGTAGGCGTTCTTGTAGAAGGTGCTACGCATCGAGGGGACGGCTGAGTCCCAGCTGGTGGGCTCGTTGACGAGCTCGATCATGCCGACATTGCGCATCTCATTGTGGTCGTGGGCAAGCTTCCTGAGGTACTGGAGGAACTTGACGGCTCGGCCGTACTGGTAGTCGTTGTAGAAGCCGGCAGAGGGCGCGAACTATTCACGTCAGATCAGAAGTCTCGTCGTCCACTGAAGGTCATCTTACTTGGCCAGTAAAGGCGTTCTGTGCGACTTGGGCACCGGGGGCACCGTGGTGGCTTCGAACATGTCAGCTAAAGAAAACGCGATCGGGCTGACACGACTTACTCCAAGATGATGTAGAAGCCACGATCGCTGGCCCATCCGCAGAGTTGGATCAAGTACTTCTCGGCTCCCTAGCAAAGGTTAGTCAACGCTTCATGTCTTTCCGCGACGCAACACGAACCCTAGGGAAGTGCTCAGAGTTCTTGTCGACCAACGACTCGTCCAGCCAGTAGCCGAGCGGGATACGGATCGTGTTGATGCCGTAGCCCGTCATCTCGTCGAGGTCGGTCTGGGTGATCCACGAACCCCAGTGCTTCTGGAACGCCGCGTCCGCCTTGTCCTGGCCAATGTTCATCACACAGTCGAATTCGGACTTCTGACCGCCGCAGCCCATGTTGTTCCATTCGGTGTTGGCCATCCACGGCTCAAAGACGAAAAGGGAGCCCAGGTTGACGCCCCTGATCTTGCCGGCCGCGGGCATCCAACGCTTGCCAACGCTGTGCGCCTCATCGTCGGTGGTGTTCTGGCCATCGAACAGGCTGAAGCCGCGAGTGTCCAAGAGCTTCTTTGAGCCATCAACTGGCAGCCACGCGTGAGAAAGCTGAGCAGTGGCAGCGAGTGCCAACAGTGTAAGACGAACCATGATGAAAAATTGAAGACTGTGGTCCAGTTGCGTTGATAGGGATGGAGAACAAGATCCAGCGACAAAGCGTGGCGAGACGGGCCGTCTTAACAAGCTTTTCCACACCCTAGCGATGTACGGGACCGAACGATGACCTCAGTAGCCGCCGAGCAGCAACCGAAGCCATTGAGTAAGAAAAGAGATTATTCCAGGGGGCTCAGCCGCGATGCGGTAACAACGGACTGGTTGGGGTCAAGACGCTAGCGCAAATGCCGATCATGAGAGCTCGCTTCGACTCCAGATCTTGGATTTCAATGGACATGTTTCTTCGAATCTATCTCATCAAAGTTTAAGCGTCTACGGCTATTTGGGGAGGATGCAGGGGGATATTGTGGGATCGAATTGCAGGTTCATCCAATACGAGCCAAGGAAGAGGGATGAAAAAAAAATAGGCTGCCGTTTGTTCCTGCATCCGAGCATCTCGACCAGGTGCAATTGACGGCTGCCTGGAGATATGTCTCTAGCACCCCCCACCATCGTAAAGCTGTAATAGGTTATCCTGCCAAGCTAGGCTTGGCTGAGTGAAGGATTGGCGTGCGACGGCGGGCTAACCCGAGCGAGGTCTGGCCCATCATCCCCTGTCGATGTTTAGCTCCAGCTGCCCAAGTTGGAAGGTTGCCAGCCGGGCAGCTTGCGGGGGCTGTCTGCTGCACCATTCAGCGCGATGACTAAGGTTCCAGCGTCCTAGTCAGCGCTTCGCAGCGCAGCTTTGGGGGCCGCCGGCACACCTTTTGCCGTCTTGATTCTCCAACTCATCATCACCCCTTCGCCGCTTCTCCCCTCTGGAATTTTGATGCATTGCTTCTATCACGCGCAGAGGGAAAGTCTCGAACGGCTCAGATTCTATGCCACTATACCAAATGTCAAGATGTGACTCTGACCTTTGGGAGGGGTAGGCAAGCTTGTCCAAGAAAGCGTCCGTGACGAACGCCGTGTACAACCACAGTTGATTCCTCCTGACGCCCATTTGAACTGACTTCATCAAATGAACCTGGAGCTTGGTTAGCAAACGTACAATATTGAATGAGTGATGGCTGACCTTGTAAGGCGAGTGTGACTTGCAAGAACTCCCTCCAGGGTCTTGAGTTCGGTTAGAAAGTGCATTTTCCTTGCGAAGTCGTTGGGCTTGGGCAATGAGAAGAGCGGCAGTGTATGGGTCTGTGAAGGCCGCTTTTCGATTTTCATGCTGTGGAAGTCCCCAGAGCATTCGGCGCGTTAAAACATCACAGCGTAGATGATAAATATTGAGTTCATCAACATAAGCAACGGATGACAGTTGCGGACCGTTTGGACATGGAGAAATGCCGGTATATATGTCGCACGGATGATGAATCTTGTGTTTTTCGTAGTAGAACATGAGGGCACCACTATGCAGTTAGAACCGGAAGCACGCCTCAGATCATACCGTCAACTTACGAGAGCTTGGTAAATGAGTAGAACTCCAAGAGAGAGCCCACGGCACTGGCAACCTCATCTGGATAGCGTGTGACCACCGTTCTAGCCCAATTTGTCGCGATATCGGGGGATGGCTGCGGCGTGTTGGGCATGGGTTGCAGCTGAGATGCATTACTTGATGACTTGGGCAACTCGTTGATGGTGCAGCGAAGGAGTTGAAGGTGCCGCGTAGTCCATGCCAGCGGCTGCACAATGAGACGTTCTCCCTGGAAGCGACGACATATTTCGCGGATTGATAGATTCGCAATGTTTTCATCGCTGTCTTCTCCGCCCGCTTCTGCCGCTGATGAAGCCATCGCTCTGATGCAGGCAGTTAAAGCAGGTTGTTTGTCTGCTGTTGGGTTTCACGTTGATTTCCGGACCTTCGAAAACCTACAGCGGCAGCCATGGCCGTCAAGGTGACCCCTGCAACCTTGCTGGCGGGCCCCGTTCGACGCCAGCTCACACCAATGAGAGGCACCGACAGCCCCCAATCAAGCAAGTGCAGTAACGACAGGCGGTGATCCACAAGAGAAGGCCCATCCATTGATAATCGCACGGTACAGAAGGGAAGGCAAGGAACTCATGATCGTGCTTATGCTTTTTCGAGTCGATTGCAACATGGAAGACGAACGCTCCTTACCATTAATTGTCATTTCCATTCAAATGTTCTCGCTGTTCAGCCGAGACCCCTCGTGAAAGAGCGCGAAAATCCGGACCCCGGGTTGTCGATCTGGTCCCTGTTACAGCGGGACTTGTTGATAGACTGGCTTATGATCTTAAGAAATGTCAATCTCTCTTCTGCGAGGCCATTGTCAAGAATCTACACCTCTGTCTGATTGTTTTTGAGATGTGCATGAATAACAAAGCAGGCCGCAGTTTTGAAGGCTGTATGTAGCTGAACCAGCTTTCGCTGCTTCATTCTTAGCCGAGACCGCAAAGTCACATTCGTGCAGGCCCCCGCTTTCGCGGCTTCGGTCTTGGCCAAGACCGCGAACTTCGTACACGCCCTCGCCATTTATAACAATAGCAGCTCGGTTTACGAGGACACAGGACTATCAATGTTACCTAGATGACAAAACGTGATGTCGCCAAGGTCCGTATGAAGTAAGCAATATCAATTGGGGGAACGGAGTCGGCCCCGGATCGGAGAATTCTCAAGGTATTGCGCCCTTTTGATGATTGTCTAGTATATGTAGGCAAGTCAATCGACGAGCTGTTTCAAGTTATCCGTCTTTACATTGTCTTCGACTTCAATTACATAGACGTTGTTTTGATATGTGAGGCTGTAGCGCCAGAAGTTTTCATTGTAGCTCTGGTCCCCAAATCACCCTCTCAGGACAGCCACAATGGGATCCATCGTCAACACTCAAGACTCCCGACCTCTCCTCCTCGTAACGTCCTTTCCTGGCGACGGCCACACCAGACCTCTGCTGCGCGTCGCCGCCGGCCTGGTGCAGCGCGGCTGGGACGTCGCCTACCTCGCCGCCAGCCAATACGAGCCCAAGATCCGCGCCATTGGTGCCGAGTTCTTCGAGGCGCCGGACCCCTTCACTCCCGCCAAGTTCGCCGAACTCGGGTCCCAGCGGGACATCCCCGTCGGCCCGAGACGCTACGCGTACGCCATGGGCTGTGTCTTCCTCGACGACCTCCCCGCCAGGACCGAGAGGCTCCAAGAGACGCTCGAGGCGCTGAGGGTCCGCGATCCCGGCAGGCAGATCGTCGTTGTCGAGGACGGGCCGAACATGGCGTCGGTGCCCTGGCGGTACGGCCGCCCCCTCCCGCGGGGCTTCGACGAGTTCCCCCGGACGCTCGGCGTCAGCCCCTGCCCGCTCATCATGCAGAGCGTGGACTGCGCGCCCACGCCCCTCGGCCTGCCGCCCGACACGTCCTACTCGGGCAGGCTCCGCAACGCGGCGCTGAACCAGCTAATCAACGACGGCCCGTTCAAGAAGCTGCATGAGAAGAGGGACGCCGTCTTCCGGTCGCTGGGCTGCACGTCGCTGCCAGCCCATACAGTCAATGACATCTTCTTCGTCGACTATGACCAGACGCTCCTCCTCTGCTCGCCGAGCCTCGAGTACGACCTGTCCGATAAGCCGTCCACGGTCGGCTTCGCAGGCTGTCTGCCCCGTCCGCCCCTCGGCAAAGACCTGGCATACCCGCCCTGGTGGTCCGAGGTCACGAACAAGGGCGAGTCCGGGAAGAAGGTCGTATTCGTCACGCAGGGCACCGTGAACACCGACCCCGAGGACCTCATCATGCCCACCGTCCAGGGTCTCGCTGGCCGCGACGACGTGCTCGTCATCGTCGTCCTGGGCAGCCGAGGCGCAACCCTCGACGTGTCCCGGCTGCCCACCAATGCGCGCGTGCTCGACTACTTCCCCTACAACGCGGTGCTCGCCCACGCCGACGTGTTCGTCTCCAACGCCGGGTACGGGGGCTTCACGCACGCGGTGGTCAACGGGGTGCCGGCCGTCTTCGCTGGCCAGACGGAGGAGAAGGCCGAGGTGGCGGAGCGCGGGTCGGTGGCGGGCTTCGCGGTGAACCTGAGGACGCAGACGCCCGGCGCCGCCGCGGTGCGCGGGGCGGTGGACAAGGTGCTTGCGGACGGGCGGTACAAGAGGCGTGCGCTGGAGCTCATGGCTGAGAACGAGGGGATGGATTCGCTGGGTGTGATTGACGAGCGCATTTTGTGGATGATCAAGTAGAGAAGGACCTTCGATTAAAACTGCGTATTATTAGCATAGACATCTCAACTCCGTTGTATACATAGACATGGCAGTCTTGATTGCACGTAGGAGTTTGGTGTCTAAGGCTATGTGTAGTCAACGAGCCTGTCTCCGCGTTCGCGGACCAGAAAAAGGTGGCGGCGGTCTCTTTCAAGGAGATAGGTAGAATCGGATACGGAACAGTAGATACCGAGGAGATCCACAAGAGAGGGCGATATTATGATCGTAAAGCATGGAAAGGAAGGCAAGGAACTTATGATCATGCTCATGCTTTTTTAAAGAGCCAACTGCAATATGCAAGACGGACGTTTCTTACCAGTACTTGTCATCGCGAATGGGGCCGGCTGGTGCGAAGTGTACGGCGCCACAACGTATGCATAGCCAGTCCACAAAAACACCAAAAAATGGATCGTGAACGCAAAAAAACATACAACAACGGGCATTCGCCGGTCGTCACCGACCCGACTACTACTCCATCCCTCCCTGGCTTATCTATGGGAGAGCGGACGGGATCCCGAGTTCTCCAGCGGGTATGGTCGTATGTGCCAAAGAGAGGAACGCAAGATGCTTATAGAGCGTGAGCTTGTCACCGAGAGCAAAGGTTGACGTAGGCAACGTGATATCTACAGAATAACTCGGCCGTCATGACTATTTCCTCCGTTGTTAGAAGACTATCAATGGCAGCCTTGATTGCCTCAGGAGCTCAGCGTCTATTGAAGACCCTGGGTAGTCCTAGTCCTGTACAAGCAGACGATCACATGGCGCAACGTCATTTTATGAGGTAGAGCGACAGGTGAGATGTAGGCTGTGAGAGAGACTGTTGTGGCCTTTTTGAAGGAGTTAGACTCAGATATGGAACATGAGATGCTGAGATGCTAGTGCAAACTCAGCAAAAGGGCTTTCGGAGACCACATCGCATGCATGGCCGCAACTCCCCAAAACCTACCGATGCTCCGAATGTCACGTCTTGGGCGCACAACAGGAGTTTGGCTTAACGCAGGGTCACCAAAGCTGGAGCTGAGATGCAGGGCACCTACAAGTGAGACAACGGTCGCTAGTGGTTAGGCTAATTCGAGTCTGTGTTGACATTCACACTTCAGCTAACACCACGCTAGATCTTCAGCTCTTCCAAGATCTTGCATGTAGCCTATCCAGCCTCCAAGGTCTATCTTGAGGTCTATCGCACTCAACTCATTTACCTTTGCCATAGTTTGCCAATGAGTCTGTGGTAGCATCGGTCTAGACAAAGCCCGGGTGCTCAGCTGAAAAGTGCGATCCTTCAGGGGTTCGACGTGTAGCTTCCTATAATATGAGGAAGCATCCAACGCAGGTTTTCACGACCGAGCTGGTTTCAAACCCGGACAAAAGACGAACGCTGAATACCGAAAAATGAGTGACATCGCGCATCGCGCGGAGCTGGAGACAGACTCAAACAGCCACGATGAATACAGCCCTCATCCACTCGACGCTGCCAATATCACTGATTCCTCGACACCCTTTGTTCGGGAGACCAAGGGGTTCACATCGGTAGTCTCACCGAAAATTCCGAGTACGAGCAAGCTTTCTTCCATAGGATGGTATACACCAGCCGTGATCGTCGGGGGCTTCATCGGAGCGATGGTTATCGCAATTGCCAACTACATCTACTTCTACGTGATTGGCGGAGGAGGTGGCAGACCCATCGACGAAGTCGGCATATCTCAGACATGGAACAGCTTTTTCATCCTAGTTCTTTCACGGGCCTTCTCAACCATCCTGACAGCGTCCGCTTCAGCAGTATTCGCGCAACTCCTGTGGTGGTATCTACGCCGGAGGTCGCTTCCACTGGAGAAAGTGGAAGCCCTCTTCCAGCTGAATTTCGGTCCGCTTAACTTGTATCAGCTCGGGATATTGAAACTAGTCCCCCTTTTGTGGTTCTTCGGATTACTACTCCTATTGGTCCCATTGTCAGCATCACTTCCGGGCGGAAGCCTTGTCGTAGAGCAGGTAGCTCGGAACGCAACCAGTGCAGCATCAATCCCAGCTCTTGATGTCAATTTCCGCGGCAATGGATCAGCAGCCGACCTCTTCAAGTATGCCATGTTCAGTACAATGCCCGATGGCGAGTACAAGTACGTTTTTCACACCAAATTCTCACCTGAAGCTCGATTCTGATCAACAACTAGGATGCCGATCTTGGAGTACTCGGCCATTGGCAAACGCTCTCTACTCGAAGGTGCCTATCTCACTCGCACATCACCTTGCGGAGTCAACTGCTCCTATGATCTCCAATTTGCGGCTCCGTCCCTTCAATGTAAGGACGCGAACCCTGTTTCAACAGCGAAATTGTACTTCAACACGGACCTCAACGACACCTACGCGCAAAATGGATTCTATCGAGCTTCTCATTATCCCCACAATCCTAACTTCAAGAGAGTCAACGATCTGTATGAATTTGTCATGATCTGGGCCGAGAGTGATGGGCAGCGGCAGAATGCTACATTGCGGGCGCTGAACTGCGTCGCAATGGCGGCCACTTACAATTCTCATGCCAATTACACCAACTCCATTCAGACTATAACTGTGGGTATATCGAACGAGAAACCGCTGAATGCAACAGCGTTGTTTTACCCCAACCTTTTCTACGGCGAGCAACATGCCAAAGACGGCCCGAATGGCATCGAATACATATACCCGACGTATACTCATACCAAAGACGAATTGAACGTCTTATTCAACGGCTGTCAGCTTCTCTCTATGGTCGAAACCCTCACAGAGCCACTCAAGGGCGATGCTGTTTATCTCGGTAAGTGTTTTGCCCTATCCGTAGCCTATTCATTCAGAGCTTCACCTCGGCCTTCCGTTCTGTGGCACTGTGACTAATCTCATCTGACTGCAGGGACCGACGGTTACAACAGGAGCAGTTCTTTGATTCAAGAAACGCCTCTCACGAGGGCAACGTATGACGAACAAATGAAGGACTACACGTACATGGAGTACAAGCTGTCTCCAGACATTCTTCGCGATCTCATGACCAATGTCTCCCTCTCAATATTCAATGACGGTCAACACTTGACTTCAACTTCCGTCACGACCGAAACCTATAGACTGAGTTACGTTTTCAAGTCCCCCTGGAGACTCATTGCAGTGTACGCCGCAGACTTGATTGTCACTGCGATCTTCTTGCTACTCGGCTTAATTGCCATGTTCCAGAACGGCGTCGCCGCGACTCCTGGAGGCTTCCTGCAGATCTTGTGCACCACGACTCATGAACATGGAACTTTGAATCGGTTGGCGAGACAGGCTTGTTCTGGTGGCAAGGAGGGCATGTCTGAGCATTTAAAGAAGCTCAAGGTCAGGTTTGGGGAGATTGTGGATGTGAATGAGGATTTGCGGTTTGCGGCATTCGGGACGGAGGAAGAGACGAGCTTGTTGGTTAATAAAAGGGCGCATGGTGGTATGTAGTGATGCATTGGCACGTCTGACTTGGTGCTCTATCACCTTTGAAACGTCAACAGCATGACTAGGAAAACGAAGCAGATCCCCTATTCTTCCTGTGTATTCGCACTCGTCCTCCTCCTCCTCCTAGTTGTCGTCCTCGTCGTCCTCGTCGTCCTCGTAGTCGTTCTCATCTCTAATCACTGTAATTTACTATCGTCCACAATCGAAGTAAAACGTCACATCTTTTAATTACATAGGAAGTTTAGCTGCGCAGACACATGAGAACTAGGCCGTCTCAAACGCGAGAATTGTTCGACTGCCGCTTATTCAATAATCATGGTCCGCATACCTCCTGACCGTAACTCCACTAGACGGTACTCCACCAGCTCAGCCAGGAGAGGTCCAGCAACATAAATCCACGGGGAAAACAACACAATGCCCTATTGAATTCAACCTGACTAAGGGATTTCGTCCCTAGACCTAGTGGTTTCGTCCCTAAAAGTATAATATCCTCTATAGAGGTCTTCTGACTCTGCCGGTGGCCTCTCGATGATTTTGGGGGAAATCTCCTGTCTATTGTCTGTTATCAAGCAATAAGGTGTCTCCTTGCCATCAATTTCGCCACTGTTATTCACCGGGCGGTATGTTGGGCGTTTCTTGATGCGTTCGACTAGGGATGAATGCAAGACTGCATTGCACGGGATATCTCGGGTTTCGCCCATGTTGAGGGGAAACATCTGCCAGTGCCAATGGGTACGATAAGTGTCGGCAGTATTTTCTTTGTCGGCGGTGTGGTCTTTGTCGGCGCGAACAGTATTTCTCTTGAGCTCCCATCGTTTGGCCAAAGGGTAGAACTCTGTTCATGTCAGTCATCCATATTCTAACATTAGGATTATGCAAGAGCCTCACCAAGAAAGTTCCAAAGTAGAACAGACCCTATGGTGTCACCGAAGCCAAATTTGAGCGGGTCATGAAGAGACGCGAGTACGGCATCGTGCTTGTGGTATAGGTAACGGACCTTGAAGTCGGCGACTTTCTCCGGAACCCACCTGATTCCCTCGCCATCAGGCCAGTAGTCTCCCTCGCCACGTTGTCGCTTGTCTGCCTCTTCAATCTCTTGAATCATCCAGTACAGGGGGGCATCGCTCAGTTGGCAAGGCCTCATGCGGTACCTGTGGGAGCAGTAATCGTGTTGGCCGTCATGGTGACACCTTCCACATTTATCCTTTGAGCAATATGACTTGGAGTGCTCGGCCTCGCATTCCTTCAATTGCTCCAAGGTTTCGTGAGACTTTTCACATTGACCCCAGTCGTTTCGTGCTTCCTTTTTTTGCTCCCTTCTCAGCTTCCGAAGTTTTTTCCAAGACTTCAGGCGTAACGAGATCGTGGCCTTCTTGTCGTCGGTCAAAAGAAAGTCACTGTCGGGGTGCCAACCACCGCCGACATCGCTATGGTTGCCCGGGAACCAGACTTCCTTGATGTGCTCTTTTCGGATGCTGTCACTTGCTTTGTCCTGGTCGAAGAGTGCTGGCTTGAACTTGACGCGGCGCTCGTCGACAGCCACAGCATGCCTGATAATGTCTGCAGTCCCTTGGACTTTGACGTTGGCCGTCGTCTTCTTTTCCAAAACGGACACCGAGTTGACGCAGTCCCACAGGCCCAGGAAGAAGACCTTGATGTTGGTCTTGGCCCGTGGTGCCCTCCAACAGAAGGTGTCGCTAAACGCGACCAACTCGCACGTGGCCGCTGTGCACTTCTTTGGAGATTGGTTTGTCTGATAGTCGTTGTGCTGAGATATGTGATGGTCACCTTTCTTGGCAGCCTTAAACTCGCCGTTCAAGTGCCGCTGGTAGAGGCGATATGCGAAAGGCACCATCTCCTCGTTCCCTTTGCAGAGAAGTCCAACAGTGAAAACCATGCGTGAGAGAAATCTAGCGGTGTATGCCCCGCGACTGAACCCGAACACGTAAATTCTATCACCCTGTCATCATGGAAGGTTAGTTGAAATGCTCGCCAACTCTAGGGCGACGGCTTACTCACGGGCGCATAGTACTGCATCAGGAAGCGATAGCCGGCAATGACATGCGCGTCGAATGTCGTACCGAGTCCCTGGTCAACCATTTTCCAGAAGCTGCTCTTCATCTCGCCGAAGCTGGACTTGTGGACGGTCTTCTCCTTGACATCATATGTTCCAATGCCAGCTAATGACATGTAAGCAACCAGCCGACTTTGAGATATGATTAACGTACTTTGATAGTAGTGGTACTGATTGCAGGCATTGCGGTCCATCATATTGAGCAATTTGACCACATTCGTATCCTTGTCAGACCCGGTGAACTCGTTTCCAGTGCCATCGAAGAAGAGTACGAGGCTCCGTGGTTCCCGCTCCGGCTTTTTTTCGCCCTTCGACCCCTCAGTATTGATTGCTAACGGGAAGATTGGCGGCATTGTGATTGAGTGCTCTGGGGCCAAAGTGTCTGAGGGAAAAGTGTAGCTAGGTGAGAGTAAAAACGGGGGTAATTAGAATGAAGTCTCAAGTACGGATGCTAGCAAGTCAGATAGATACCATGAGCAGCGACTGATCGCTTCGTTGAGATTACTTTTATATACTAAACCGTCCTCCTATGTCATTGATGAAATCAAACACCATATCAATTCTCACGACGGACCCGGACAAGAAGAGGTAAATAACGTCACCTCTGCGCAGTCCGTGGAATCAGATGTCTAATTATCACTGTCGGCTTGACTCACATTGCGCAAAGTCTCAGCCTTGTCTTCAGATCTGAGACCTTCCATCTACCAGCAAACGGGTCAACGTCACCGGAGTTAGTTCCTAGAGCCTCAAGCTTCAGTGGCTGTCGATCTTGTACTGAAAAGCGAATTTGATTTGCCGCTAAAATGTCTTGTTTTGATCGGCCGTCCAAAGAAGCGCCAACCGCTTACCGACTACAGCTGCTCCAGTTTGCCAATGTCTGAAGGGTTTCCGCATCTGGACTTATCCTGCTTTGCGTGATTGACGAAAACGTCACATGCAAATTATCTATGTTTTGGATGTCCAATGTCTCGGTAGACCTTAATCCCGTATCTTCGATTGTCTGTCGACGTTCCGTAAGAAATTGTGCCCTGATCCATCCTCAACCCTTCGCTAGCACCAGTGTCTGACTGACCCAAACCTGGGCAAGGTGCCTGTGTCTATTACTTCCACCGCCTTTCATATAACAAGATCCCCAAAAATGTCGCGTGTTTTCTTCCTTTAGTTAAAGGCAGTAAACGGAGATGGCAGACGAGGAAGACTACGACAGTAGAGACGATAGGACGACGAGGTTTCCTTTTCTCTCTCCGATGACATACACAGTAAAGTTGACACGAAATTTTAAACTATATTGTGAGGCCACCTTGAAGTCGCACCTTTGCATCGCCTAGGAGATCAAGGTTCTCCAATTGAACACACATAGTGTTTTGTAACAGCCTAACTTTTAGTAAATTTGAAAAGAAGCCATCTGTCGCATTGCCCCCGAACGTCACATTTATACACAAGTCTTCTTCATACCAACTCCCAGCTGAGATCCGATATCCTTGACCGTCTGCCTCGCAGACGTGTTCGCTGCAACTGCCGCCTCGGAAAGACAGCTCCCGCTCCCGACGAGAAGCACGACTGCGAGCGTATTGACATCGACAAGCTGTGCGTCTTTGTCGACTCAGAGTTCATAAGAGGCTCAGCTATGAGGATCCAGGCCACCTGGGCAGTGGACGAAGGACCTGAGAAACAAGGGGTTCGTCACAGAACGTCAATGTGGTCGATCAAGAACACACGCTCCGTCTTCGCCAAGGTCCTCAAACACTACAACCCCAAAGAGGCGGTTGTCTCCATGCAGGCTCCTCCAGGTGGAAAGTATAGAGCCGCACTTCTCGTCTTGCTCGCAAAGGTCTGCGACGCGGCCGAAGTTGTCGATCGTCTGGGCGATTACACGGGCTCATTCGGCATACATTTCAGCGAGACCAGGAAAGCCGATGGTCAACCAGGTACACCGTTCTGGGAGCGCGACGAAGTCTTGCTTTGGGCTAGGAACGCTCAAAGGCCGATACGCTTCTACGATTGCATCATGTTTCCTCTGTTTTATGGAACATCGAGAGGCCCCTACAATGCGAAGGTAACCTTCGAGCATCCGCCGAAAACGAGGGGCTTGCTCTTCAAGAACACCCCAAGGACATCTGGCCAAGAGGAACTAGACTGGAGCATTGTGGAAGGCATCATATGCTTGGATTATATAAAGACGGGTATCATCACCGTGGGTTCTGGGTATCCTCCTCAGCCTGCAACGAAAAGACCCTCCGGCGAAATCCTGACATTCAGATGGAGTAATTCATGGACGAATCCGTGGAGGAAAGACCCGCGCAGAGCTGACGAAGTTGATTGCATGTTGAAACAATTAGAAGACCCAATGGGCTGTTCGGGGATCTTTACAAATCGGGCAGCTGTCGCTGGTGTCCGACCGAAACTGGCCCTCCAGAGTTGAGGGGTTTGAGAGAGTACATCACCTTATCCATACCGGCGAGGGAGAGATTCAAGCGGCATCCCAAGCCGGAGGCCGATTGGTTTGCACCATCTGTCAGTTTGCTAAAGTACCAATTTGTCTCCTGGGCTTTGGGTTGTTCTGATGAAGCGTGCACAAAATGCTACATGACTTCGGGTCGTCCTTCTGCAGCGTTCATAAACGGCAAGACTTTACTCAAGGTTTCTGGGCATAAAGTGGTAAAATCGAGTTCAAGGTTTATAAAATTTAAGGTCAATCATGCATCTACTATATAGAGAGATATGAAAATGTTGGACTGCCTGTTCATCAACTATAGAGATGGAGATATATGCCGTACACAACATCCATCAGACGTCGATAATATGCATAGCGATCTCAACAATGTTTTACCTGTTCTCGAGCTTCCGCGCCGTGTTTAAATCGATGACTGCGGGGTAAATGTGAGGGGCACATCGGGAGGACTCTGAGCAATAATATCCTGCACGAACTGGCCCAGCGTGGTGTCAATCGGAGTGTCGCTCGGAGTCCAGCCAAGCTCAACTGGCAACCGCTCGTTCCCTATAGATGGTTAGAGCATGTCGATGGCCTATGTGAAACCACAATCACTTACTAAAGAAGTACTCCATGAATGACCTATTCGCTACCGGGTTTTCCGGATGACCAAAAATGGCCAGCATGAAGGCGTTCTCGCCGACGATGACCGGAATCTGTTCTTGGGTGATGGAGAAGCTTGGGTTGATCTCGCTCATATAAAGGGCGTGTCTGGCACGAGCGTTGGCTATGATTGACGTGTTGATGGCCTAGGCGCTCGTTTCCAAAATAGCTCACAAAGTTGTCAAAGGTCCCCTTGTCGAAGGAGTTGGTGGGGTCGAAGACGGCATCGCGGCGGGAGAGACTGCCGTCGTGTTCGATCACATTGTGGACATGGAGCATCTCGAGGTCGAAGAACTGTTGCGACTTTGGTCAGCCCGCCCTCTTGGAGCGATGCAGATGCTTCTCTTACCGTGGCGTTGGGAACGGGGTTGACTACAAGAGCGTTCTCAAAGATGTTGAGAGCCCGGGATTCGGCCACGTTCAATGCATCCTTGACCCCCTTTGTGAGCTTGTCGAGCGTAATGTTTCGGCCGTCGTGGGGAACGAAGCCATGGTTTGCGAGGGTGTTCATCGTCGGGCATGGGGAACGCTCTGCGTTGATTCTGTTAGCACGTTCAAGTGTACCCGTCGAGACAGATTCAAATTTACGATCGCCAGGTCCCGGAGCTTTCCAGAAGAAGTGATTCGGCGTCAGACGTCCGGTTCCGTTTCCAGACTTGATTACTGGCGGCCGGATTGAGTGTCCAACGCCAGAGTTGGCAAAGTGAGGGAAGCTATAGGCCAAAGGGGCCAGACCCACGATGATCATGGAAGAAATATGCATTGTGGAATTGATCTGAAGGAGAATTTGGAAGATGACTGATATATTTGAGTCTGTGAGAATGATGCTTCGATACTCCATAACGGCAGCATCTCAAACAACAGGCAGGCCTTTATATCAATCATTCAAACATTCTACTTTCATGCTGAACACCACGCCTCCCTTCCATCATCGAATCAAATCTTGCCTATTTCCTAGCAAAACCTCAACACGGCGATGCTTAAAATTGCCCCTTGGCGCAATGGAAGTTAGCATTGTGTTGACAAGGCCATCATCAGCCACTGACCCGACCGACTGCGAAAACGAGAACGAGCCACGAGAACGAGCCTCGCAGACAGCACCAAGTATCGCATTTCAACGAAACCAAACGTCATGGATTTGAGCCCTTCAAATGTGGCTGTTAAGGCAGATCATTCTTCCTCACAGGACTTCTTGACATCGTTCTCGATATATCGCACATCGAGAACACCGTCACCCGAGTCTGCGATTCAGCTAGACCCGCTGTTTGTTCCCCTCAGGCGATGACTTGCCTGACGAGCGAGTAGCTTGAGATGACGGGCAGTGAGACACAAATCGGTGATGACTTGCTGCGCAGACACGATCTTCTCAACGTGACTCATTCGACGGGTGGAATGGCCGGCCCGTCTTGGGGAGAAAAGAAGGCTAACAGCGGGGAGGTAGGTCGAGATCTTTGATCCGTTCGGGTACTCTGCAGTAGCCGTTGGTACCTGAGCAGGGATGTTCGCCCACCGCCTGTTTCAAAACCTCGAGTCTCTGCGCCTCCAATTGTCATCCCCTCTTCGCTCGAATCCGCTTTCCATCTCAGAAATTCGTATAACGCAGAGAGGGCCGGGCCAGACAGAATGGCCGCTGCCAGCTCACCGCAGACACGTGGCACACCGCCCCGGAGGCGAACACACCATTTGTGCGTGCCCAGCTGAGGCTGACGGTGTTCGTCGAAAGTCCGCAGCTGCTTCTCGAAGCGAACATGGGACAACGGTTTTGCACTTTAAAAAGGAGCTGAACCCTGGAAAAAAGAGCATGGTTGCCCAGGACAATACGGACGCTGACGTCTTGAACGGAAACCAGCCTTGGAAACCTTGGAAGAGCTCGGGCGATCAGTTCGGGCGGTCACGTGCCGATAAGAGCTTGCCAGCCACCGGGACACTAACCCGTTGTCCCCAAGTGGCCTATCGATAGGCTGGGCTCCACCACACCCGCTGCCCGTTGCCCGCTGTGGAGCCAGGATTCGGCGCCAAGGGCGACCCGGTTACCCCGCGCAACCACGCTGCAGGTCCGGCTGGGTTGTCAGCGACTACCTGGTGAGCTCACAGACAGGACGAACCCACTCTCTTTTTCTCTTGGAGAAACCTAGTCTCTCGTCGCGAAGGTAGTGACACAAGTCTTCAGGTTCATCCTGAAGATTTTCTTTGTTCCCAACCTCCCGACACCTTATCTTTCCTCTGGGGGTAGGGCGCATGTTCTGCTTCAAACATTCCAGCGCAGACGCCAACACCGAAACTTCCCCCACTTGCACCTCCGGCCGGCTCACTGACCGACTTTCAGGAAACCGCCCAACCCACCCAAACGATAAACGCAACCATTTCTCGGGGTCCCTTTCCTTTTGAGGATCTCGAGAGTCGGCCACGATAAAGACGCCAAACGGGTTTCCCGCATTCTTCAACACCTCCCACCCGCGTCTGAAGGACTCCTCCGCTCGTCGTCGCCATCATGGCGCCGGCAGAAGGGTTCTCGGCGCCGGGCGTCGCTACCTACGACTCCAACACCATGACGGTCGGCGACGGAACCTGGGACTTTGAGAAGAACACCTTCTTGCTGCCCAACCTCCAAGGTCTCAATTTCGAGACCATGCAATACAATGGTGAATGCGTCCCAGCCGGGTTTTCGATGATGACACTCCACTAACACAGACCACCCTAGGTATGGGCAATCGCTTCTCGACAGTCGCTCAGTACCACACCCTCATTCTCGCTCATGGTGTCATGGGAGCCATCGTCTTCCTTGTCATTGTCCCATTCTCCGTCTTGACGGTTCGATTCTACACGAGAAAGCCCGGTTACGCTGTACCCTACCACGCCCAGCTACAGATCCTGGGAGCGCTCTTGCTCGTCGCCGTATTTACCTTGGGCTGGTTCGCCGTCGGCCCCGAACGAAGCTGGACGAACCCACACCACGCCATCGGCCTGGCAATCTTCATTATGTTTCTCCTGCAGATCATCGGCGGCCGGCTCGTGAGGAACATCAGGGGACGCTCGCTCAGAAAGATGTTTCATCGATGGAGCGGACGGCTCATCGCACTTCTTGGTCTCATTCAGGTGCCTCTTGGATTGACGCTCTACGGCTCCCCAAAGTACACATTCATCCTCTACTCCCTATGGGTTGCCTTCTTGCTCTTGCTCTATTTCATCCTCAGTTACCGCGCCGAGGGCGATGACCGTGGCCGGGAGACGTACATCAGTGGAGGACGGTCCGAGGGACCGAGCGGCGTGTCTTACGACTCAGAGTACTACAGTGATGTCCACACAGAGAAGACCAAGAGCAACAGATGGGTGGCGCCTCTCGCAGCTGGTGCCACCCTGGCCGCCTTGTTCGGTCGCAAGAAGCACAAGGAGAAGGAGAAGGAGCTCAGCCGGGAGAGATCGCGATCGCGAAGCCGCAGTCGTGGACCAGAGGTCATCGGTTCCAGACGGGGCTCGCAGAGCTACCTCCCCTCACGCAGAGATTCCGCAAGCTACTTTGAGAGCGAAAAGTACACCGACATCGATTCACGCCGGGATGACAAGAAGAAGGAAGGAGGCGGCTTCATGAAGACGTTGTTCGGTGTCGGTGCTGGTATTGGCGCAGGAAAGCTTCTGTCCGGCCTGATGAAGAAGAAGGAGAAGAGCCGACCGCACGACGAGGAATACTCTGCCGTCTCGACTGAGACTCCTCAACGCCGCCGCCCGAGTCGAAGCTACCCCGCCCAGAGTGAGTTCACCGACTACACGGACTGGACCGAAGACACCCCGCCGCCCGCACGAAGACCCCGCGAGGGTTCCATCCTGCCGCCCCCTGGAAACCCCGTCATGGCCGCTCAAGCTCTCAGCGCCGCCGAGTCTCGCACGAACCGGCCCCCTCACGCCAGGACCAGGTCCCAGTACAGCTTCGAAGATTCCGAGTACTCATCGTATGTGAGCCCGTCTAGACGTAGGGATGAGCCGCCGCCCTCAGGCGGGGCCGGCAAGGGCATCTTGGCTGGTCTGGGCTTGGGATGGTTCGCCAAGAAGATGGCCGACCGCAAGAACAAGAAGGCCGAAGAGCAGAGAATCAGGGACGAGGAAGAGATGAGGTCAGGCGTTTCGGGCTCAAGATACACGGGCGACGGCATGTCCTCCCCGTCCCGCGACAGACGCTCCTCTCGCCGCGCCAGTGGTGGACGCCGCCCGAGACCTCCCATGTCCGCCATCAGTACAGAGATCACCGAATTGACCGAATCCTCCGAGCTTGAGCCCCGTCCTTCCGGAACCGGCTACGGAGGGGGCCCCCCGATGCCGCCGTACTCTGCCCGCCCCCCGAGAACGCCTCCCGGTGCAGGTGCCGGCTACCCCGACTCCGTCAGCATGCCTGCGATGCCGCCAGACCCGCAGGGCATCCTCAGCCGCGAGTCCGAGAATGATGTGTACGGATCTCCCAGTGGTCGACCGCAGCGCCGCGATTCTGCCAAACGCAGGAGGGCTGGCGATGAGGCAGCAGCGGCCGCCGTCGCCTCGGCGAGTGCCCTCGCAGCCAAGGAGGAGCAGCGTCGTCGCGCAGAGTCTGAGCGCTTCGGCCAATCCACTTTGGCACCCGTCAGCGTCAAGGTCAAGGTCCACGACGATAAAGACCGCAACGTCACGCTGCGCAGGCTGACCGAGGAAGAAGCCGCCGCATCCAAGCGCGACCACCGAAGACGGCGCGGCACCTCGGTGAGCAGTCTCTCCGGCACCGACGTCGGCAGCGGACGCCGCTACCGCCGTGACTCGAGCCAAAGGAGAGCAGAGGCCGCAGCCGAGCAGATGGCCGAGGCAGGCGACGCCCTCCCGCCCCCCAACCCTGCTTTCGCGGCGGGCCGGAAGCCCAAGGACTCGGCTTACTACTCTGGACCGACCGGCGGCGCAAACCCCTCTGTCTCTAGCATCGGCAGCGAGCACACGCACGGCACCTGGAGCCAGATGAGCCCCTCACCCGCCGTACCGCCGGCCGGCCTGAACCCCACGGGATCCGCCGCGGAGCACAACCGGAGGAGGAGAAGACAGGAGCGAAGACGGAGCAGCGCGAGCCGCCCGCCGGCGGGAGGAGTGGACATGTACGACTAGAACGCCGGTCAACAGCGACGGCGACGGCGTTCACGACCGACACGACATTTTGATGTAACACCCCCCTCGCCCGGGCGGTAAGTATGACCACGGTCCCTTTTTGGCATTGGGTTGGCTGCTGTCCCATCTTTGAATCGCGATATTTCAGGGAAGACTGGCACTCTAGCTACGGCGACACGACTGCTTCTTCACCCTCTTCTCCTTCTTCATGGTTGACGGCACAAAGTACAAAAAAGATTGCATTGGGTCGGGTGTCCCTGCTGTCGCAAGCAGGCCCCGAAAGGAGTTTACGGGCGTGGAATTTTTGTGTCTGTTTCTTTTCTTTCTCGAACCCGGCGCCTCCTTTCTCCTGAAAGGGACGACATCTATCTTATAACGGTTGGAGCATGTCGCGCGATTTTCCCTCCCAAACGGCTCTCACGAGTTTTACGGAAACGAAAGCAAGCCTGAGTTTGTGAATATGTATGAAGGAATACGAACATCTCTCGATGGATGATTGTACGAAAGACAACACGGGTATTTGTGGATAATTGGAGAGCTCGTCACCATGATAATTCCTGTGCAAAATGTGACTGCAATAATGTGATTCATAATGGTATGTCGTATTGGCTGCGTGCCTCATCATTCTAAGCAGAACTTGTGCTGCTTCTGTGTATGGTCTACATCTCATGACTCCCCTTACATCATTCTAAGGTGTCTGATGGGGTAAAAACAAGGAATCCTGCCTTCAATTTTCCCAGTTGCTCCCAGGCCTCGCGCTGTCATTGAAAAAAGAAAAGATTGGCGGAGCCCTTCCCACCGTCATTCATTGTAGGTATACCCAAAACTCCTTGCATGTTTCCAATGTTCCAAACCAATCTGGGATGCCACCCGCATGTGACCCCTCCAGTCCCAACGCCTAACGAGTGATTGAGCCGAGTAATTTAGTACTCGGCACCACCAAAACTCTTGTTTCTCGTGAGTGTCGCGCGCTTGATGCTGACGCGCGGGAGCTGCTCGTAGCTCTTGTTGCGGACATGGCCCGTTCCTGGGCGACTGCCTCCACCGGTGGAATCGCCCTCCTCTGCAGCGACCATGGCGTCCGCGGGCAAGGATGAGCTTTCCTTGATAGCCGCCACAAAAAAGGACGAGACAAGCACGGCAATACCTCCCAGGGCCAGAACGATGGCCATGGAGTGGTCGCCGGGAGTGCCGCGGGGCTTCTGCCAGATCTTGAAGATGATGCTGGAGCCGACAGTGGCGATGATCTGCGGCGCGGCGATAGCCATGTTGTGGATGCCGAGGATGACGCCCGCCTGGTCGGTCTCCTCGCCCTCGCTGAGAACAGATCGGTCGGAGTCGGCAATGGAGTCCAGGGACGGGGAAGCTGGGCCATCTGAGCGCCTGCTTGGGCTCAAGTGTCGTTGTCTGGCACGCAGTACCGCGTCTCGGCGGCTGATCTCTGCGCTGATAATGGCCCACGGAGCCCACAGAGTCATGGCCCAAGTAATGCCGACTAGGCCAATCAATGCTGTCGCTGCTTCGACTGTGCGCACGATGACGGTGCAGAACATGGCACCTGCGAAGAGCCACAGCGACATGAACCAAGCTCTCTTGAGCGTGAAGCCTGGAATCTGCAGACGATCTAGGAAAGATGGCTTCTCGCTGTCGAAGTCCTTCGGAGCAGCATCCGTCTCCCCCGGCACGTCGCAGAGGACGGGGTGGCTGTCATAGGTAGGAGCGATAAAGAAGGGCAGGAAGACGTTTGTGGCCAAGCTGACAATAGAGTTGATGAGGAGAGCAAACGTTCCGACTCTCGTTGCCTGTTCGTACAGCTTGTCGAGCTCTTCCGGAGCCATGTGCGGGTTCTTCTCTAGGAAGGGCTCAACGTAGATCTCGCCAATGTACGAAGAGGTATAGAATAGCAAGGGGAAGAAGCCAACCCAAGCGCAGAATTGAACCTGGCAGACTCTCATAACCTGAGGCGGCAGACGCTTGATGGAGGTAAAGATCTTCCCAAAGAATGGAAGGACGCCAGCCTTGCTCTGCGCCGGCGGGCCCTCGAGTCGGGGGTCCCGTTCGTGGATAAATGTTGTGCTTACCAGGATGGTCGACGCCAAGGCGATGCTGGCAATGGCGCAGAGCACCTTGAACTGGGTGTCACCCAAAAACCAGACGTATTTGGGCAAATCGATGTAGCCCGCGATATATCCGACAATGTTGCCGAAACCGGTAATGCGACTTGCCATGGCATTGGCTGCCTCCTGTTGGTGAGCAGGTGCGCAGTCCACGATGAAGGCTCGAATGGCGGCCTGCACGGTGTTGATGGCGAAATCGAGTACATAGATGCCGACCACGGCGACGCAAATAATGGCGGTCTTGACTCCCTGGGACTCCGGATCGGCTCCAAAAATCCCCAAGAAGCCGCCGACAATTTCCCTCGTCCAAGCCAAGAACATCAGCGACACCATGGTTGCGATGGCCCCGCCGACCATAAATGGTTTCCGCTTTCCCCACGGCAGTCGGCAGTTGTCGCTCAGCATGCCGACATAGGGCTGAACCAACGTACCGGTAAGCGGACCTGCAATCCACACCAAGGCCATCAACGACTTGCTGAGGCCAAGAGAGAGCAAATAAGGTGATCCATTAGACAGCTCGACGGACCATGCGATCTGCAGACCGCCAATGCTGATGGTCAGGAGGATAAGGTACCACACGCTCTTTGTCTGCTGCAAGTCGTCCTGCTCCCCCATGACCGTGTTACCGTCGGTGAAACCATCTTCGTCGCTGCTCGGAGACAGAAGCGGAGATCGTTCGCTGGCGATTCCCTTGTCACGCACAGTCGAGCCGTTCCGAGCTGTGCTGCCGGACAATGTGCGAGTCTGAGTGCTGTTCGTCTTGGACGGAGGGTTGCTCTGATCAATGTTGGGCAAAGGTCGCCCCCTTCTAGGGGATTGAGCTTTGTTGGAAGTCATGTTGGGCGGACAGATATCGGAGTGAAGCTATTCAGTTCGGACCAGGCCCACTAGCGGGGCATCGAAGGTCGGTTTGTGTCAACTCGAGGGGTTCGTTTCGAATGCCAGAGACAGGTCGGTGGGTTCGTTGACTGCGTTAGTCAATGATAGCCCGTGAAAGAGTATTTAAACAGCGGGTTCAATGGTTCGCGAGAGTGGGCAAGGGAACCGACGTGGCCAAGTCAGGCAGAAAGACGTTGTGCCGTCACGCGGTCAAGTAGGAGGATGCCACGAGACCCCTCGGGCTGGCTGGCAGGTACGGACGGGAGTGAGTCGATTTCTGACGATGACAGTTCTGGCGGCAGAGGGCTGCGTCATTCGCTGGATGCAAACTGCGCCCTGGCGGAATGACCAACTAAAAATGTAGGCCGGTTCCTGATTCGAGCCCAGGATATGCGGTTGAGCCTGGCACGGGCGAATTAGAGGCGGTACCGCGGATCGAGATGGTGTGCCAGGGTTGCGCCAGAGTGTCTGCCACAGGGGGAACCGGCTGGGTAAAAGCTGGAGGCTTGACAGAAGCGGATGCGGGAGAGCGGCAGCCAGAACCGGCGTCGGGTTCGACTGGCACTGGCGGAATTCGATGTAAGGGGTGGAAGCGTGCTGCGTGCGACGTGCAGCTGAGTGGTGCAAAGCCGAGGGAGAGCCGTCGTGCAGCTGCCGGGCCGGGCTGATGGGGGGTCTTGAACCGTCCGCCTTCGTGGATCGCGACTGTGTCTTTGCTGGTTAGGCCGGCTGGATACACACGTGTTGGCGATGCGAGCGCAGCTAGTCGGTTGGATCGGTCGTTGGTGGGCTGTTTCGAGACACGGGACCCTGACTGAGCTGAGGTCGAGAGTGGGAAGGGTCTTTGTATTTATTTGCTGGAGCCGGGAGGTAGTCACGGCGCAACTCCGTGGCGGGACCGATGGAAGCTTCCACTGGGTGGCAGAACAAGGCGGGTGTTCCGAGAGAGAGGGGCTTGGAAGCTGGGGGACAAGCGGGAGCTGGTCACGATGGCATCGGACAGCGAGTGAGAGACACCTTGCTTGCCTGCTGCCGGGGCATCATGCCCAGGGTACCCCCGCAAAACAGTACGTCATGGCTGTAGCTCCCTTCTTCCGCCCCCGTTGTCACCGCCGTCTGCCACCTCAGACTCCAAAACGCGTACCACATTGTCTCTCGCAGTCTGCGCGCAACATATCTCCTCTTACGGCCCGTGACAAAGAGATGCTATTCATGGCCCCCGGATTTACGTACAATCATCAAGTCAGCGCGGCCCCATGTGTCAGCATGGCCTTCCTCGTTCGGGTGGGCGCTGCGAAATAAACATCTTCAAGCAAGGTACGGTAGGGCAGGCCACAATCTCACCTCGGCTTCAGCCAGAGTCGCTTTCGTGTGGTGGAACAGCAGCAACCCCCCGGCTGACGGTGCCATCCGCTCGGCTATTCGTACTCACACTGAGAGAATCCTCACGAGGATCTGGTCAAGTGTCACCCCAGGCTGCCCAACAACTCTTCCGCTCTCCCAACCGCTCTCCCCAGGTGTCAGATGTCTTACCGCAGTGTGTGCCGACCTCGACACCCTCAGCGAACTGGTCGTCTTCTCCAGGTTTCCAGGCTCCCGACCGCTGCGCTGGGGAAAAGAATGGGTACCTCTTGCTGCTTGGTGCTTGGTTCCCAGCGTCTCGTTGCAGCTGCACCCGCCCGCCCCAGAGTTGCCCGCGATCTAGACCCGTTGGGGGGGTGAGTGTGGGCATGGGGAAGACACGTGCCATGTCATTATGAAATCATCTGCGGGAGATGCAATAAGCGAAGCCCATTCACGCATGGCCACCACCTAAGCGAGCCTATCGACTTATCAGGAGTTCCTTGCGTCCAGACGAACGGGCTAACCGAATCTGGGACGTTCGAAGCTCAAACACTGGGCCTCCAGTACCGGTACTTCAAGATCGACGCTTGGCGGCCGCTGTTCCGTCCAAAAGGCACTGACACCTGCCCGCCCCCAATTGTAGCTCTACCACCCCGCCGCGACTACGCAACGTCAAACATCCATGGCCAATCAGCGGACGGGTACAGAGCCACCGCGGTGCATTGTTGCAGCCTCCGAGAAGTGGCTGGCTCCCGTCCGTCTGTCTTGCTAATTATTGCACTGCTGCACCTACTGACCTTACCTGCGCCTGCATCTCGAGTGGACACCTTTGCGAATGCCATCTCGACCTTGAGGCCTGGCGAAATCGATACATTGCGCCCTCTCGTCGCCGCCTCACACGACTCCGCGGCGGACGATCCCTCGACACCTGCGACGCCTGTCGAGCTGGCTTGTTCATGATCGCCATCCGCAATCCTCGGAGCTCATGTGCGACCCGCCGGTCAGCCTGCTTCCCTCTTGATTCTGGATCTTACTCTGTCACCAACCCGTGAGCGCCGCAATTACCGCACCGAACCTTTCCTTCAACATGTTTTCCGCCTCCGATCTCGCAGGGACGGCCCTGCGCATCGTCCGTACGTTGCCATGGCACAGCCATCCACCTCTAGAGAGAACGCGCAAACTGACGATCCTCAGAACGTGCGGCCGAAGAAGGCGATCCCGAAAGTACGATGCCGAAGCTGTCCATCTCCCGCCCTGCCGACTGCGACTGACTGTATACTCCAGGTTCCGATGGCTCTCAGAAGGAAATCTTCGCCGCGTGGGCGCTGTTCATTTCCATCATGCTGCTCATTATTGCATTCCTAACAAGCTACTTTCTCCAAGAGAGGAAGATTGAAGCGGTCCACGAAACCGTTATTTCCATCTTTGCGGGTTCGTTTCCTTCTCTCCATGCGCAGATTGTATCCTGAGAGATAATCTAACCCTACCGTCTAGGTATGACTGTCGGACTTCTCCTACTCGTGACCTCTGGCGACTCGATTCGAAACCTAATCAGCTTCGACTACCAAATCTTTTTCAACCTATTACTGCCTCCAATTATCCTGGCATCGGGATACGAACTACACCAAGCCAACTTCTTCCGAAACATGGGCACGATCTTGACATTCGCTTTCGCCGGAACGTTCCTGTCGGCGGTGGTCATTGGTCTTATACTGTGGCTCTACGCGCTCACCGGAGTCGAGTCCATCAGCATGTCATTTGTCGACGCTATCTCAGTGGGAGCTACCTTGTCAGCCACTGACCCCGTGACCATTTTGGCCATCTTCAACTCGTACAAAGTCGATCCGAAGCTCTATACCATTATCTTTGGCGAGTCAATCTTGAATGACGCTATTGCCATCGTCATCTTCGAGACGGCGCAAAAGTACAAAAAGGGTGATGCCTCTAAGCTGGGCTTGTTAAGCTTCTTCGAGGGTATCGGCATCTTCTTGATTGTCTTCTTCGGCAGCATGTTAATCGGCGTTCTCGTCGGTGTCATGACAGCACTGCTTCTGAAGCTTACCTACATCCGCCGCTACCCGAAGACAGAGAGCTGTTTGGTTGTGCTGATTGCCTACGCCACGTACTTCTTCTCTCACGGCATCCACATGTCTGGTAAGTTGACCCGACGACTGTATTCTTGTTTTGGCGCTGACCCTCTGTAGGTATCGTGTCTTTGCTGTTTTGCGGTATCACGCTGAAGCATTACGCCTACTTCAACATGTCAAGGCGGACGCAGCTCACCACCAAATTCATTTTCCAGATCCTGGCACAGCTGTCAGAGAACTTTATCTTCATCTACCTCGGCCTTGCCCTGTTCACAGACAATGCGCTGCAGTTTCGACCTCTGCTCATCATCATCACCGTCGCAGCAGTCTGCGCGGCACGATGGGTCGCTGTGTTCCCGCTGTCCCGTGCCATCAACTGGGTCATCCGTTACAGAGCCCAACGCAGGGGCGGAGATGTCAGCGACGAGCTTCCGTACAACTACCAGGCCATGCTCTTCTGGGCCGGCCTCCGCGGAGCTGTCGGAGTGGCTCTAGCAGCGCTGCTCACGGGCGAGAACTCCTACGCGCTCAAAGCCACCGTCCTGGTTGTCGTCGTGCTCACTGTCATCATCTTTGGCGGTACGACGGCGCGCATGTTGGAAATCCTCGGTATCCGCACGGGCGTCGTCGACGAGATTGACAGCGATGACGAGTTCGACATTGAGTCGTTCGGAGGTAACTACTACAAGCGCTCCGGCGGCATCGGCTTCACCCCCGGGCGACGGAACGGCAGCATGTCGCTAGACAACATCGCCTCACGCAACGGCACTCGTCTGGGCGCTGGCTCGGAACGCGGTAGCTACGTTTCCGGCCACCACTCGCCGAACCCCATCAAGCGAGGCACAAGCCTCAGCCGCAAGAATTCTGAGGCGGAGCGGGGCGACCTGCTGGACCGCAGCGGTAACACGACAGACTCGGATCTGGGAAGCGATATTGACACGTCGGATCTCCCGCCTCCTGCTCGTCGCGAACCGCGGAGGACAAGCCCGTCGATGCTCACCCCTGGCGCATCGAACTCGGCAACTTCATCCGCCATCCTGCAAGCCGAGCCCTCACCTGCAGCGCATCACGTCTCTGCGACATCAGCCATCAGGCAGCTGTTCAGCGCCGAGGATCCTGCGGGTCTGTTCCGGCAGCTGGACGAGGACTTTATCAAGCCCAAGCTGTTGCTCGACGGCGGCAACAACAACAATCATCGCGGGAACGGGTCTGGGCCTGCTTAGATGTGGCTCGCGTGCAGCGGTTCTCGTTTCAAACTGTGTAAACGTCATTTCAGGGGTTTTGTTTGCTTTCATCTCTTCGGAGACGGGTTTGTTGCACTTCCAGCGGCACTGGGAGAGTGGGCATCAAGTGGCGTTAGGCGTAACTATAGAGCGAGGTCTCGCATGAGGCCTGGGTTTCCATATCATAGTACCCATGAAGAAATGTCGTTTCCTAATGCTATTCAAGTCAGTTTTGTGACATGCAAAAGTTTTGACGTGCTTTGGATGTCCGGTGTGAGATTAGATGAGCAAGCCCACACCAACAGCACAGGTTCACATACGATGGTAGTGACAGATATGTAGGAGTGGCTTTCTTCTTTTTTTCATTTCGTCTTTCCTCATCAGGCAGCCTGTCTAAGAAGCACTGCTGCCCCCTCCCGTCTCGTCTTCGCATTACAAGAGGTTATATACAACCTTGTGGATTCTTTCGCCTCCGCTGCCAGTAAGAATTTCGCAATACTCCTTTTATCTATGTACACGACGTCTGCTCGCGCCGCCGGCCTTTCCTTTCTGTGTCGTCTAGCCGCATCAGAGTGCAGACTAGGGCGACTGGGAGGCGGACGGCGCGACGACACTGCGAAGATGCCCTTGTTTCTCCCCCAAGGAACATGCAATCCGCGCTTCCCGCGGCACCCGTTATTGTGTATCGTCCCCTATCGCAAATATCCGGGCACTCATCTCTGCCCCCTGAAGACATTTACGACTTGTGTGAGTTATGTGTGTGATATCATCACTTTTAATAAGATGCCTCGTCTTCGCTACCTCGGCCTATGTTGATGGCGCAGCAGACGGTGTAGCACTTCCGCTTGCTTGGCGCTCGGGCTGAGTTGGTTGAGGGGTCGCCTGCTGTGTTGCCTGCGGAGTGGCCTGCTGTGTTGCTTGCGGGGTCGCCTGCTTCGTTGCCTGCTGCTGAGCAGGTGACTGAGCTGGCGGCTGAGCAGACTTTTGAACTTGTTGTTGAGCTGGCTGCTGGGCTTGCTGCTGAACCGGTTGCTGCGTCTGTTGCGGCGGCGGCTGAGCCTGCTGGGCCTGCTGAGACGCCTGAGGCGGTTGCGGCGGCTTCGCCTGCTGAGCTTGCGAGGTCTGCGGAGTTGGCGGAGGCTGCGACGGTTGCTTGCTTGGCTGGTTCTGCTGCGCCTGCTGAGCTTGTTGTGCCTGTTGTGCCTGGGCCTGGGCACGCTGTTGGAGTTGCTGAGCTTGCTGCGCACGTTGTGCCTGCTGAGCTTGTTGCAGCTGCTGAGCCGTGTGTTGTTGATGCGGCGTCTGCTGTTGTTGTGGCTGAGGCTGGTTAGGGGGTTGAGGAGTAGACTGCGGCCGAGGAGTTGACTGAGGTCGAGGTGTGGGCGTAGGTTGAGATTGTGGTGTGGATTGAGGTCGTGGTGTAGGCTGAGGTTGAGGTGTGGAATGAGACTGAGATGTAGCGCGGGAATGAGCCTGATGTTGCTGTTGAGCATGATGTTGTTGCTGAGCATGCTGCTGGTGATGCTGGGCGTGTTGCTGCTGTTGGAGGTGTGCTTGTTGCTGAGCATGTTGTTGCTGTTGAGGGTGGTGTTGCGCCTGTTGTTGCTGGCCATGGTGCTGGTGTGCCTGCTGATGCTGACCGTTCTGCTGAACATTGGGCTGGCCGGCATTTGCAGCAGCCTGCGCCGCTTGTTGTTGCTGTTGCTGCTGTCTGAGAAGTGCAGCATACTGGTGCGGGCTTGTTGAGGCTGCTATGCCGTTAGCCATACCAGGGGAAGAAGCGCCTCCACCACCAGCGGCAGCGTTCATAGCGCTCTGCGACATTGTCGTTCGCTGGGCAATCATCAACCGCGTGAGGTGATCCGTAGCTGCTTGGCGAGCCTGCTGTTCCGTCAAGTTGGGATTCTTTGCCTGAAACTGGGCCTGGATCGCGTTGAGCTGCAATTGGATATTGGGCGGCATCTGCGGGCGAGGCGAGCCAGAAGTACCATTGGGCATGTGGAGACCACCTGCGGGAGGCGTGGACATTCCGCCGCCATTAGCGGCGTTGAAGGAGGCCATCATTGCTTGAGCGTTCGCAAGGAGATGCTGCTGAGGGACACCGTTGACGCCATTGGCACCATTAACGCCATTGACGCCATTGACGGTAGCAGGGCGCATGTTCGGCGGTGAGTGGGACTGCGAAGCCGGCGTGCCCTGGTGCATCTGCTGTTGACCCTGTTGCGCTTGCTGACCTTGCTGCTGTTGCGCCTGCTGCTGTTGTTGTTGATGAGGCTGTTGGACTTGTTGCTGCTGCGCCTGCTGCATGTGGGCGACGGCTTGACGCTGCTGGTCCGAGATGCGACGGGCTTGAAGCAGCAGGTTGACATTAACTTCCGGCTGGGGATTTGGCATTGGCATCCTGTGCTGTTGCTGGGCCTGCATCGCAGCTTGGATCTGCGCCTGTGGCACTCCGTTCATCTGCATCGGCGGCACAAGACCGCCCATCTGAGCAGTTGCGCCGCCCATGTTGGCTGTCGGAGCCTGCATCGGCATGCGGCCACGGCCCTGACCTGGGACGGCAAGCTGGTTCGGCATGTTAGGGCGAGCCAAGTTACCATTGACCTGGGCAGCGGCGGCCACAGCTGCGGCCGCCGCACCGTTCGCCTGCATCTGGGCAGCGCCGGGAGTGGTCGCCATCTGGGCAGCAGCTTGGCCTTGCTGGGCACGTTGTGCTTGTAAGGCCATCTGGGGAGAATCTGTGTTAGTAGGTACGATACCCTCGGGATTTCGCACAGGACGTACCCTTCGCTGAGTTTCTTGTCGCTGGTGGAACTGGGCCACCTTCTCAGCGAGTTGTTGGTCACGCTCCCACCTCATCAAGCTGTAGTCCCTCGGCGTCTTGACTGGTCCTCGCGGTTGGGCCGACTCATTGGCTTTGCGCATGGCTGCCATCTGAGAAGCATGCTGCTGCTTCTGAGCCGCCGTCTCCCGCTTCTTGGCCAACTTTCTCATTGCGTCAATGAGCGTCAAGTGCTTCTGGTTGCGTCTTCGCTCCACTCTAAGCGGTGTGGACGGTCTACGCCTAGCAATCGGTGTCGCCGGTGTGGTTGCGCCAGCTGGTTGTTGTTGTGATTGCGGCTGTTGTTGTTGCTGCTGTTGCTGCTGCTGCTGCTGCTGCTGCGCCGCAAGCTGGTTTTGTTGCATGATCACCCGATTTGCCGCGTCGATCCTGTTCTGGTATGCTTTGAAGTACTGCGTCTTTTGCATGTCCGTTGGTAGGCCCTCCAGATTGATCCAGCGCTCGAAGCACTCCCACGGCGTTCGACGCTCGGCACCAGAGGCGAACACAGATCTCGTCGTGAGCAAGCTGGAGATTAGCGACCAGTTGTACGAATACTCGCGAACAAGTCCACGTAACTCGTCATCTTCGGAAAGAGTCCACTGCGAAGGGCTGCGGCTCTCGTAGAAGTTTTGCATCGGCATCTGATATTCCGCAGGAGGGCGGAACTGGTGGCCGGCGTGAAGACGGTCTCTAATCGGCTTCATATCGGGGTTGAAAAGGGCCACGTCCGTGTTTTGCGGCGGCAGCTTCATCCTCTTGGCAGGCTGAGATCCAAACACGACCTTCTCGTCGTCGTCATCCTCCTCTTCTTCGTACTGGAAGCGGCTACGCTTTCTCGGAGGTCCGTCCGTCGAAAGCTTCATTTCACCCTCAACATACTTGCTCAGAGGAAGTGCGGGCCGGCGCCAGTGAGCATCCGGGTCGAACTCGGGGCCGGTGAAATCGAACGAAGGGACCTTGAGCGGTGCACCGTACATGGGCAGCTCCTGCAGCAGTTGATCTGCCGTTGGCGAGTTTCGCAGCTCAAACACGACATCATCTTCTTCGAGTGCGAAAATCGCCGACGGTGCAACAGTCTCCAGGACCTCCTCGCGCAACTCATCCACGTGCTCAGGAGAATCCGAGTCGCCGGACGGTATCAGCTCGGGGGTGGGCTGAGCGTCGACCGCGTCCATGGAGGTGTCTGCCATCGACATGTCCGTCTCCGCCTCAGCCGATTGTGGCTTGGGGGGAATGAAGGCAGGAATCTGGAGCTCCTTGCGTTCTTCTGCACTGGATGTAACCCACTCAGCGCACGCCTGCGCCAGGTTGCGCGCGACCGCCATCTTCCACTTGCGCTCCTCTCGGAAATCTGTCCTCATCCACTTCATCTCTTGAAGCAAGACGTCCCAATGAGACTCGGGGCGTACCGGCTCAGCACACCGCTTTGGTTGACGCAGAGACCACTTGTCGTGCTGTTGAAGATGATAGACCCGCCGCAGCACACGGCATGCCTGGTTGTCTTGAATGGCCACGTAAGCATCGGGAGTCGACACCGTCTTGTGAGACTGATTAAGAATAACTTCGATCGGTTTCATCCACTTGCTAGTTTGAGTGAAGCCCTGCACGAAGAGTGGCGTAAAGTAATCGTCCGTTGGCAGAAAACTCTGCTTTTGCTGTGCGGGCACCACAGACTTGTCGGCTGAGCGTTTTGTTGACTTTCCGAAGACGACCGCTGAGGGCGTGTTCCTGGCCTTGTCCTTCTTCTTGCTGGCGAATGTCTTTGATCTGATAGTTGGTGATTGCGGAGCAAGCGTAACCGGAGTAAGCTGGCTGGGTGGTACATTATCGGTGCCGGCAGTGTCCACAGGTTCCGGCCGCGATTCTCCCAAGATCTCTGATACCGACTTCTGCCGCATAGCGCCGGACGCCGTTCGTGTGACAGCACGTTCAGGATCTTGCGAGACATTGGCGAGGTTTTGTGGTTGCGGGGTTGCAGATTTTGCCGGTGTGGGCTCGGGGCGACCTTCTTGTCCATCTGACACAGAAACCTTATCCTCAGGGTTAGAAGCTGGCTCATCCACATCCATCTGGTCGTCACTCGAAGCTTGTTCTTGACTATCCGGAACCTCTTTGGCTGCCGGTCCCTCGACCGTTGTGGCGGGAGCATCCTCAACGGTCTCAGGTGCTGACGGCTTATCAGCCACTGGTTCATGAGCTTTCACCTCAGTTTCTGGTACCACAGGGGTGGACGCAGGTGGGGGCGTAGGTGCCTTTTTCGGAGTTTGAACTACTGGTGCCGAAGGAGTGGTGTCCATTGCCAGGGATTCCTGCAAAAGCTGGGCCTCCGGCCCATCAGGAATCCGATCCGCATCTGCCAGAGGGGACGTCTCTGCCGTCTTCGGTTCCTCTTCAACCTTGTCCTCCGTCTCTGCCTCGTCCATGGGCTCCGTACGCTCGACATAATGGGGACCTTCGTTGTCAGGGCTGGTATCCGTCGAAGCATCATGAACTGCTGGGGTGGCTGCTGTCTGGGTTGTCGAACCCGGTGACGAGAGAGCATCCGCAGCCCGCGCGGTGTCCGGCGGCAGCCTAACAGCCGGGGGAACCGTATCCTCCGTCTTCTTGGGTTCCTGCTGGGCGGGCGGTTGTGGTGCTGGAGGCTGAGGAACTGGTAAACCGGTAGACGTTTTGGGCGCATCAACAGGCGACGCAGACTCGACCTCCTTCGACGTGGATTTCGGCTCGTCCCGTGCAGGCGACGGGGCGGCCTTCTCCGAGTTGTCGCCATCCACCGGATCACTAGCATCCTGACGCGACGCATGGGAAGGGTCCTTGGATACAACAGCCGGCGGGGCTGGCGGAGGTGTCGGAGCGGCGGCAGCAGGCGGCTTTACAGCTTCGTGTCGATTTGGGGTTGGGATCGCTGAGACGGGAGTTGGAGGCTTTGGTGGCAGAGCAGCAAGGCCGGTCAGTGGTCGAATGGACGGGGGAACGCCATTCGATTCGGTGGGCGCAGTCGGAGGCTGCTGTTGCGACGGCGCGGGGATGGGTTTCGCTTGCGGTTCGGCGACAGCAGCTTGCTTCGGTGGAGGAGTAGGCTCGGCATCTGGTGCGAAGAGGCCAGATGTGTCGAGGGAGTTTTTCAAGACATCGTAGCGTAGTTGAGGTCGTTGGGGAATAGCCAGCTCATTCAGCTTCCGTCCTCTGTAAGTCGTGTTAGCGACGGTTTAATGGCGAACAGGGCAAAACGCGACCAAATTAATTCAAAAAAGCGCGGCAGGGTAGATTGCACGTACTGGGAAATATCGCTGCTCTGCAAGAACTGATTTTCGGCTGTTGTGAAGGGCGGCGCGTCGGGCTTTGCAAAAGCGTTTGTCGGGAGTGCATCGCCATCGGTCGCGACAGCAAAGAGCTGGCGAAGCTTCCGCTTTCTCGACGTTACAATTGAACTAAAAATTGTCAACACCTCGAATTTGGTATCGCTGGAATCGGAAGAGCGAGCTCTATCGACTGGAATAGTTACTCACTTAAATTCATCGCGTTTAGATCGCAAAAGCCTGGAGCGGTCGGCAGGCCCGACCTCAGTCATGTCATGAGCTGCCGCGACATCCGTTTTGGGCAAAAACGGAATGTCGACGATAATTTTTGAGATTCGCAGAGATGGAATCAGCGATCGCAGGTGATGAAAGTGGTGGTGGCGGGTCGTGACAATTGATCGCGATTGAAGTTCGTCGTGGAGGCGTGGAGGCTCGACCAGAATTTTGTCGGTCTACAGGCGCTGAACGAGTAGGTGATTCTGGAAGTCACAGGCCGGGCTGGCGGTGCTAGATTGGGCGGGAGAGAGATTGATGGACCAAGGAAAAAATGTTATCGCTACCATGGGGAAGCGGAGAAGACACTGTGCGCGCCGGTTTGCGCTTACCATCAACGCGTGCAGATCCCGGTGATGGCGAGATGGACGACCGGGGCCAAAAGGAGAAGCGGCACAGTGCCAGGTCCTAATCTCTTATGCGATAAGCCTCTCCAATGGGGACGCCTGGACCGGACCCTCCAGGCTTTTGGCGCGCACGAAGACTGTTGAGAGAGAAAGTGAACCACCCCCGGGGAATACTGGAGGCGTTCCATCAGTGCCTCTGGGCTTTCTCCAGCGCGCTCAGTCCAAGTGCAGCGCCGACACACGCTCGTTCCTTTTCTTCTTTTTTGCCCTTTCCCTCTTCTTTTTTCCCCTTCTCTGCCGTCAAGGCAGGTATCGGTACATGTCTTAGTTTAGTAGACAGGCGCCTCCAAACGACCCTGTGAAGTATCTACCAGTCATGATGGAGGTTGTCTGCTTGATTCAGGGTTCGCGTCTGCAAGTGCTGCATTCGTCTAGACCAACCCAATTCCTGTGTGGCCTGGCATCCAATCTCATTAGCATCCCTGGCCCCATTCACATTCCTCAGGTGCAAGCGGTCGTCGCTTCCTGCATGGGATTTTGCAGCTCCATGTTTGTGTGAAAATCTGGATCTCACTTGATTTCCTCTTGGCCGTATTCCTGGTTGTTAGACCAAAGCCTGCCCGACCATGCTGTGGACGTTTCTTCAAGGCGGCAGCCTCACAATCATGCGCCACGCCTGCAATTGGCAAGACTAACAAAAACCTTCACTCCTCAGGTTGGTTTTCTCCCCTCCAGCCTCAGAGCAGGCTTCAGATTCCGATGGTCATGTAAGTTTGCGCTCCCCCTCCACGACGGCCCGATGACAAACATGGCTTCTGCCTGGGAGTCGTCCGGCTGGTCGCTTGACCATTATGCGATGACAAACGGGCAGGGAGCGACCGTGGCAAACGAACGCATGATGGAACACGCCAACGAAGCCCAGGGCAAGGCAGTTAATAGCATCCTCACTCGAGGAGCCAGAACCCCGGTATGGTTGTTGGTGTGTGGGTGTGGGTGTGCTTGTGATGAGACGAATTGCAACAGAGCTGAAATCGCTTGATTCGCCTGCCTGCGCCCTTGAAGTCCGCTGAAGCAACCGTCATAGACAGCAAGCCCGGAGGCGAGGGTGAAATGATGGATGGGCATGAGTCGGGTGCCTTTGAGCACAAAAGAGGCTCGACTCGCAACCTGTCGACCAGCTATTTTTCAACGTCTCTTTCGCTCCGTCTAAATAGTAGTAGGAGCAGGTGCAGCCCAAAATCTTGCGACCATCGAGTCAGTTCCGCGCCGCCAACACTCGGAAGAGCTGGAGCCTTCAGCGGAAAAGTCGTCAGTTCCAGAAGAGTTTTCGGTTGGGATCTCGGAAGGGGGGCGTCGATGTGCGAGATCAGACCGTTGGCCACACACGGGCAGTCCATGACTTATCCCAACCTGCAGCCGGCTTTTCGAGATTTTCTCACTGGTTTTGGCGCCGGGGCCCCATGGGTGATCGGGTGTGAGAGAGTGAGCCTGAGCAGTGAGAGGTGCAGGGCGGCGGCCAGGGTCGAGTGCTCGACGCTCATTGGCCGGAGCTCGTGCTCCAGCGCGGTCCTAAAATCATCACCATCATGTCGAAGCTGTCAGCTAGCCTCTGGGGGATTTTTATCCCGAAGGCCCGTGAGCCGGGCTGATCGTCATCTTGCGCAGTCTCTCTCTTGGTCAAGTCGTTGGTGCTGGGTTGTGGTGATTTGTGCTGAATGGTCTTGTCGACGGACCCGGAAATCGAAGCTGGGGAACCGAGAAAAAAGCGAGCCAGTCGAGCCGATGTTTCGACGCAGCTGTGCGTTTGCCAAGACGTCGCATTTTCTTCCAGCACTGGAAGTCTAAACAAATGTCAGCAAGACTTGGAACTGCTACAACACGCGACATAAGATCTACCTTTCAGAACACAAAATCGAGTAAACCAAAGACAGAATATTTACAATAGCGAGCTGGCAGCTGGATATGTGTGGGTGTACCTGACGGGTCACAGCTCCGGAGAAAAGAAATCGCATCCACGACAGCTTGGACGCAAACCCGTCGCCCAATGAGAGGCCGTCGTGCCTTACACAATGCTTAAATCCTGAGAGTTATGCACGGCCCTCTCGGATTGGCTGGACGAGTATAAATGCCGTTTTGTGTGACATCACGATTCCTACCAGCACAGTTGCAGTTGGCCCTTGTGGGTTCGTACAGGGGCTGGGCCATGTGCTGCCAATGAACTCCCAGAGTTGACAGCTAGGTTGACATAGAATCTGCACGCCAAAGTGTCAATGATAGTCTGATAGAATCGCCTTGCACAGCCGAAGACGGCTCCCAGTTCGGGGCAACCTGTGTGCCTCGGGCGACCCCATTGCTCCTTTCCCGCCGGAGTCCGCAGCTGCGCCGTCCCGTTATTTATATTTGATAAACAAGTCATCTTGCAGTTTACAGTTGATGATCTGGCTGGTACATATATGTGAGGGATACGTTCTGTCAATGCAGCTGGTTCACCAACGCTTTGCATCACTTCCCATTTGACACCGATTGATACCTGTAATACCGCAGTCCTATTGAAAATGTCGTTCCTCGGGTTGGACATTGCCCAAAAGGGCCTGTCTCTGTACACGGTTAGTTACCCCTCACCTGAGGCTTCATCCGCGTCACCAAGCTCACGATGGAGACAGGTCCCAGCTGCAGTAGCGTCGATCATGGCCGCTCACACCTATGCCTCCATGGCCTCGGGAAAGCTCTACGACGTAGCCAACCCGCGTAAGCTCAACGACGTCGTCGCGGCCGACGAGAATATGAACAAGATAGTGCGTCTCCCTCCGCCCGAGTCTTGGGAGTTCGTGACTGACCGTCGCTCCAGATCAAAGCCCGGATCTTCCGCGCCGAGGCCGCCGCTGCGAACGGCTTCGAGACTCTCGGCCTCTATGCGGCCGGCGTGGTCGCTGCCAACGTGGCCGGCGTGGATCCCCGTTTTGTTAACACCATCAGCTTCAGCTACATCGGCCTCCGCATTTTGTACAACATCGTCTACATTCGTCTGCAGGACAACCGCAATTGGGCCCCGGTGCGCAGTCTCTCATGGATTCTCAGCATCGCTTGCACCTTTACGCTTTACTTCACTGCCGCCTCGAAGTTCGCTTCTGCCTAGGTTTTCTCTGGTTTCTTTGTAACTCGGGCATCGCCTAATCGTGTATACAATATTGATCACGGCCTCGGGCCTGCTTACAAGCAACACTATGAGATTTCGTTTTTGGTGATTAGTCCCGGTGAAGTGGCGTGCTCCTCGACTTTTGATTTCATTGTATCGGCGGCGTATTCGGGGAACTCAATGAGGAAAGTGGTGCCATCAGGTTGCCTTGCGAATCACCCAGACGGCTTCTTCTCGGGCCGCACTTGACAACCTCGTACCGCTTCAACAGCACCCAGCCGTCCGCAAACGTGGCATCTGGCCCGCTTGTCTGCACGAGGCGATCTTGAAGTTCGGTTCCTCGCTTTTGCGAAGCGTACGTGCAGCAAGCCATCATTCGCCTGAATGTAGTGGAACAAGCCTGGAATCCCTCATGCCCAGTCTTACCCTCGCAACCAGTACCCGGACCAGTACCCGGAGTGGCTTCCAGTGTTGCGGTCTAGCAATGGCAAGAAGGATGCATGACGGGTAAGACAACCTTCCGCATTGTGGAACATACAGGACTTCAGACCCAGATTGAGCCACTTAAATGGACGCAACTGCCCAAGACTCTCTTTGATCCTTCCTCAGCCTGTAAGCAAGAGTCGTGTGGTAGTTGAACTTCAAGACTTTAAATGTCCTTCTTCGGCTCTAGGCTCTTGTCAGAAAGATCAGGCAACCTGTCTTTGTCTCCTTTCCTGCGATGTCGCTTGCTCCTTCCCTCCTTACGTACCTCCAAGCGAGTTGCTAGACTTGCGAAATCCGTTATCAACCTTTTGACCCTCTTGCTGCTTGCCTTCTTTCTCTCTTTTCCTCTACCTCTCTTTCCTTTCCTTCTGTATCTCTTCTTCTTGTTCTTCTCAGCTCACCAAGGGTATCATCAACTCTTCTTCTTTCCTTCCTATTTCCAAACCAAAGGACTTTGTTCAAGCCTCATCACAGGACTCTTACTCCAACAGATCCGTTCCAACCTGCAACAATGTGCAACCTCAAAGGCATCGTTGTAATTGCTGTCTTGGCTGCCACAGTCACAATCACTGCTGCTGCTGCGATAAGGCCCAGCATTCAGCAGTCGGTCGAGACAGTCGTTGACATCGGCACTGCCACCACCACAGTGCAGCCTCCTGCCACTACCTCTATCAAATGCGATCACCAGTGGTGCCAGGACGGAGCTTCCATGTGCGCCCACTGGGCTGGAGTTACAGGTAAGCTTCATGGATATGCTTCAGCACTTATCTTTACTAGGTATTTAACTTAGCTTTCCTGCCAGGTTTTGACCCTTCTCGAGGCCCTATTCCAGGGGAGACTGTCACCAACCTCGGTCCTTGCGCCATGCCTACGGCCACCGCTGCCCAAGACCTCCTGCCGCGCAAGGTTGAGAACGACGAGATGCTCACCACTCCTGCCCCCACAGTCGCAATGGACTGCAGTTATAAGTTCTGCCAGGACAGCACCTCGTACTGCATGTACTGGGCTGGTGTTACTGGTTGGGATGTCTCGCTTGGTGCGATCCCTGGAATGCAGCGCACCTCTCTTGGCAATTGTGAAGCTCCCACCTCGACCTCCGTGGACGAGTCCGGCAACAACCTCCCGACACAGACTGCTACTGTCAAGGCTTTCAAAGCGAGAGGCGCATCTTTCTTTCAATGAACAGAGCGTCGTAGGTTGTCTCCAATTCTGCCCTTGTTGCCCAAAAGATTTGCTTAACTCATCAGCTGACACTATGGATTGCAGATGATCAACCATTTTCGAGAAGCTTACGGTTGGGAGAAACCCGGAGACCTGTTACCAGACGATCATGACATCTGAAGAGGAACACCGTCAGCCCCAGAGACATTCGATTATATGGTAGAGAGAATCAAGATTCGATATTTCCAAATTGCAATATGTGCAGTGAAGAAGAGCTATGTACATGTTGTTACCCAAGCAGATGTGTTGCATTTACCCCGTATACATGACGCCTCCTCGGCCACGCAACCAACACTTCTTAAGCAGCTATATCCAAGGTCAGTCATTGGGTATCAATTGTGCTTCATTGAGACTCACCAGGTCCAGTGACGGAGGTCGTGATGGCAGTATCCTCGACATAAACGCCCGAGAAGTAAAAGTCCTCGTTGCTGTCCGGGTACCCGTCACGGGGCAGTTCCAGAACGCCCAAGTGCCAGTCCGCACCGTTCGACGACGTCGAGGCAGAGACCGGAGCCACGACCTGCGTGAGGGGCGCGCTGCCCTCAGAGTGCCAGAAGCCAACGCTGCCGCTGGAGAAGTTCTGCAAGATCATCACATCAGCATGCGTCCCAGCCCAACCAACAGTTCATCAAGCAAAGAAGACTCACAATCTCGTACGCCACGTTGTGCCACACACCGGCCTTCCACTCCGCCTTCCACAGGCTCTTCTGCTGCACCATGAACTGCAGGTTCGCGTTGCTCGTCGCGCTCTCCCCGCTGATCCACCCGCTCTTCAGCTCGGTGAAGTGGCTCTCGAAGAAGGCAATCTGGTGTTCGCGGTAGATGCTCGGCGCATTCGTGTCCTTGCGCATGATGGAGAAGTGGTACCACACTTTGCCCGAGTTGATGGCCGCCTTGGTCTGCGGAATCAGCTCTGTACGGCGCATGTTCTGCCCGTTCCAGTACGCCGTGCTATCGAGCGTGATCTTGACGCCCTGCTTGGACGCCGTGTCGGCCGGGTTCTTGTAATCCGGCGACAGGTTGACGTATTTAGTGACGTCGCCTGAGCCGTGGATGTAGTACTGGTACGGCCCGACCTGGTTCGCCCAAGACCACTTGTTGAGGTCGGTTGAGGAGTTGAGGTCGTTGAAGCGGCCGTCCCATAGGATCTTGCCGGAGGCGAGGGGGAGGAGGGAGAAGAGGGCGGCGGCCTTCATGCTGGGCAAATCACGACGGGGGAAATGGAATGTGTAATTGTACTGGTAGGGCTGAGGATCCGAGTCGAACTGGAGAACCACCACCCCGCAACAGGAGAACGAACTCTTTTTATATCAACTCCAAGGCAGATCCAATATGGGAACTCGGGATCACGACATTCGGTAGCGTGCATTGCGAACCCCAGGGGAAAATAGGAGTTCAGACGCAAAAGATGGGTCACGAGCAATATGAACATCGCCCCGGACGGACCGAGTAGCCAGGAGCTTGCCCGCGAAGGAAGCCTCTAAGACTGGCTTCGACGCTGACTGGGTGTGCCGTCGCATTCGTCCGGACAGCACCTTCCGATGCACTTTATCGTCGGTTCGGGCGATGATTTGGGGAATTTGTTTTGGGCGGAAGAGGGGGAAATTTAGGCTGTATGAAGTTTAAAGCGTGCCCACCCCCGCCACGCAAGGAGAATAAGGACATGCCGTCTGGCAAGGGCATGCTGGGCGAAGGCGAACTCAACCCCAATTAAGGGGCATTCGGGCTCTGACGACGTTGAAGGGGTCGCGATTCCATCTTTGACCCTTTTGAAGCTTCCTCGGCATGCTAGACGCGCCGAATGAACCACGGCAATGCCACGGTGTGCCAAGGAAGCTTGTTCCCCTTCCTGTTCAGGAACCGGGAGAGAGTGCTCCCTCCAGATGCCGCGTGGTGTCTTGACACGTCGTGAGGGTTACATTCGGAAGCAGCCACCGCGGCTTACAGGCGAAAGGATCTGCGGAGAAGGATAAAAAAGACTGAGCGATAAGTGGACGACCAAGCCGTGTGATGAGATCTTGGTCCTGTTCTAGCTGGGCCCAGGCATCGAATATAGCCAGCTTCATGGTATTTTGTATCAAGGAACACCCTCAATCACAGAATGAACCAAACGCCGATCGGATCTTTGTAGTATTATTCTTACTACCGTAGCAGCGCGGACACCCCCAATAGCGCGCTCATTGTCAGTTTGTTTACATTTGCTTGCACTCCCCCCTTGAATTCGCTGCTCTTGATCCAAATACCCAAGGTGAAACTCCTCCGCCCGTTTCGCTGCCACACTGGCAGGATCTGAACTCCCTTACCCTAAGCTCCATAGAGAAAATGACGATCTAGTGTCCCTTTTATGCCTCTACCAGCCGTAGGGGCGGTCAAGGCTCGATGCCTATGTAATAGCGTCTTTTCTACAAATAAAAAAACAGGAACGAAAATGAGAGGTACCTTGTACAATAAGGGAAGCGGTGAACCTCCCCTATTTATCATCGTCGCTTTCAGCATAGCTTCCTGAAAAGCTCAGCTGACGCAATGCGCCTCCCACGAGCGACAGGCTCTGTGGTGCAGCATCTTGGAAAGGCCCGCGACGAGACGAGCGGCTTTCGTACCGAGGAGTGTCGGGCACTGGGCTTCCCAGCATAAGCTCACCAGCCTTCTAGGATGTGGCTGTCGAGGCCGGAGGCGCAGTGTCCTTGCCCTCCCTGGCGTCCACCTTCTGACGATGTTGCTTGTTCCTGAGATGCACCTCAAAGTTTCCGGCCGTCATTTCTGGACCAGGCGTGTAAAGCTTTCCGGGACAATCCAGACAGCGGATTCTTGGCAGGAACATCCACCTGACGCCCTCTGGCGGCTGTGAACCCGCAGGAACGGGTACCGGCATTTCTGTGGTGGGGTTGACTGCTGAGTACTTCATCATGCCTTCAAAGTTGTCGTACGTATACGTGTTCTTGAGTTGCTGAAGGCAATCCTTGAGCCACTCGGGCGGAGGAGGCTGGGTCATGTCAGCTACTGTTCCAATGCTTTCATTTATTACGCGAATTTACTTACAGCAGGTGGCGGTGGCTGGCCAGCGACTGGTGGTGGTGCGGGTTGTCGGCCAATTTGACCTTGAGGAAGAGGAGTGCCTAGCTTCGCGGGCAGAGCTTGGCTGTTGGAGGCCGGCGTGGACGGAGGGGGCATCGAGCTGGCAGGGGCCGCGACACTGGGGATGCGTGTGTGCGCAGGCGTTGACGGGGTCTGCGAACCGCTCGGCGTGACTCTGGCTCTGGGGTTCTGGAGAAGTCTCCGCAGCTTGTCTTTGCTGACCTTGAGCGTGACAATGAGCTGAGAAGGCTCCTCAGTCTCGTCTCGAGTCTCGCGGCCGCCGAATCGGTTGAGATTTCTGCGCGTCTCATGGTGATGAATAACGCTCGCTTCGGGCGTCTCAGAGCGACCCAGGTTCGTGATGCGTTGCTGAGCGGCGCTAGCAGCTCCACGAAGGCCTCTTGTCCTGGCCGTGCCTCCCCCGAGTTGTGAAACGCCCGGCGAGTCTGGGCCGGAGTCGTCGCTTGAATCGGAATCAGAAATCTCGCCGTCGCGGGCACCTGGCCTCTTGCGTGTGGTTGGCGCGCCGGCAACGCGCTTGTACAGCGTCGTCTCCTCCATGTTCGGGGCGGCTCCAGGGAGCACTGATGACACCAGCAGCGTCCTGATCGTGCGCTGCCTTTCCTTGAGATCTGGCAGCTGAGGCCCGCCGCGGCGGTTGATGGAGCGCTTCTGCCTCCTTTGCTCGCGAGAAAAGATGACCTCGTTCCGGTCCAGGTCGGCGTCGCTGAGCTCGTACAAGTATGGTGCGTAGTCTTTGGCTTGTTGCTGGGGCCTGAAGACGGAAGTGAGAGGAGAGGGAAGGAAAGCGTTGATGAGGTCGGGATCTTCGACCGGGCGGCCGTCGAAGGGATGGCCAACACTGTACAGACTGCGAGTGAAGAGTTGACACTGCTCACGGATGCTGTGGGCGATGGCGGTGGTGAACTCGCCCGACAACGACAAGTCACGCGCCATGGTGGCGGCGAAATCCTCCGGCGAGTTCAGGGGGTTATTGATGTCCCATTCGAACTGGTCGACCAAAGTGTGCTGGCCGACGGTGACGTTGAGCTTGATTAATATCCTCATCTCGTCGTTCTTGTACGCGGAATAGGGCAATTCCGGATCAAGCGCGTCCTCTTCGGAGAAGACAAGGGGGTAGAAATCATTGAGCTGGTCGCGCATCTGATGAATGACCTGGTCAAGGACCGGCTTGTTTGCCTGGTCCAAGGGGATGCCGATGTCTTCCACCAAGTGCTGGGCGAAGAGCTCAGCGGGAATCACCCTGTCGTGGAGGTTCCACGTGAATGTGTCGCGAAGCTTGATCTTCTCCCAATCCACATCGATCCGTATCGGCACGAGCTCTTCATGCATTTCCGCCTGCTTCTTCAAATCCTTCTTCTTCCACCTCAACGGATGCGACTGGCGCTTTCCGGGCCGCGGTTTCTGGCTCGGGTAGATGACCTGAGCGGGAAAGGGCGCTCGCATACGGGGATCGATGTCGGTGTATCCATTTCCGTAACCGCGATAGCCTTCGCCGTACAGCTTGCTCGGGGGAAAGAACATGCGCTGATTCTTCAGGATGCTGTAGTCGTCGATCTTGTCTCGCATCTGCTCCATGTCCTTTTCGAACTTGGCTTGCGCATCCTTCATGGCGATCGAGTGTTGCCAATCGCGCGCGACGTAGCGTTCGACCTGCATCTTGTTGAAAGAGTCCTTGTCCCGCACCGGGAGCGCCTTCGCGCTGGCAGACTGGGGAGTGCCATCGTGGTTGTTGTTGGCGGACGTGGATGCTGATGATGAGGCTGTCGCGCCAGCGCCGGTGGGCGTGGACGTAGATGGCTGGGCGGCCATTGTGGAGGGAATGTGCAGGGTGCCGAATCGCAACGGCAATGCGACGGGCGCGAGCTGGTGTAGAAAACGCGCAGACTGGCCCGAGGTCGATTTGCGCGCGTGTTGTGGCAGATGCCAATTGGCGATGCCTCCAAAGTCGGATCAAGAGGTGCAAGGTGGATTCTGCTACGTCTGCGGCAGCCTCCTGCTCCGTGTTGGTGTTGGGCGGGAAGGCTGGTTGGTGCCAGGTGGCTAACGCACCAAATGTCTCTAGGACGTGTTTTTGCTGGGAACTCCCGGTCAGAGTGACCCGGTTCTGTTAGCCGGCGCAGACCAGTACCAGGCTTTCAGGGGACGGGAGTTGCAGTTGCCTCTTGCTTCGAAAATTCATTGGTCACGCCAATGTACTCTGCCGTACAAATTAAGCAGAACGGTACCTGTCGCCGCTCCTACACGTCCTCGATGGCTGCCGCACTAAGCACCAGGCGCTGAGCGTGTCTTTCACGATCTGAGCGCGTCCTGACCTCGACTGAGACTGGACTTGGCCGCACCGCCTCGAGTGTCGGCGCCACACCTGCCTCGAAGCAACCTCGCGCGTGGCGCACCACATGAAGCATTCAGAACAGTTGCTGCGACAGCTGCTTTGCCATGGTCGCAGTCCACCACATTCGTTCCTTAGTCACTCTTGTCGACATCGATGAGTCCCGGCCAGGATCGTCTTGACCAGGACGAACATAATACGCTGTCGCCAGACGTGTAGAAACCCTCCCATCTCTTGGAGAGATCCCATGTGGCCTTACGGTACGGCCCGGGCTTTTGCCGGTTTGAGGTTGGTGGGATGACGGGTTGCCCTGAGCTGTGAGCATCGGCAGCTTCAGCTCTGGGAGGGCTGAGCCGAGAAAAGGTTCCTTCATTCACCGAGTACACCTTGAGCCGGAGCTACCTCACCTTGGGTCATGCACCTGGAACCCCTCACCTTGGAGGCGGCTGGGCACCCGGTACCTGAGCTCTTGTTACCTTCACCTTGCCTCAGGTGCCTGCTTCACTGTCAAGGAACAATTTAGGCTTCACCCGACCACAGGTAGCACGGCACAAAAATGCTCCCATCTCTCTCCTGCTGCCGCGTGAACCGTCAACAACCATTCGCTGAATCGCTGGTGGGCATACCTATGTAAAGTACCTTACCTTACCTCACCTCACGTACCGACGTAACGACTCTAAGCGATCCCGGCGCAAATTCTCCACCACAGGTACATCAGACTGGACCTTGGAACTGCATCTGCTTGACCTGCCCGAGCACCCACAAACAGCAGCTAGCCCCTCCTTCCCCGCCCTGAAAATCGACGTATTCGTCGTCAAAAATACCAGCCCCGAGCACACCAACTCTGCACTGCATCTTCCCGCACATCCAGCAGTTCCAGCTTCTCTCCCACTTTTGAGATCCTGGATCAGTGCACCACAATCGCTTGAGATATCCCTTTGATTTGTAGGCAATTCCTTGATCAAAAATACCGCCAAGATGTCGGACGAGAAGGAGATCGGTCAGTTGCCCCGTCTTGCCCGTTCTTGCTGCTGCTATTTTCTTTTCGCGTGGTCGTGTGTTGCTGCTCCTTCTGCTGCTTTGCGTCACACACCAAAAACAGCCCACGCTGCTACCCCGCCACGCCCCAAGCAGCCATAGCAAACGCTGCTGCGGCTCAGGCTCACGAGACTCGTGCCTGGAGAGCTGCCCTTCCATCGCGGACTCGTTCATGGAGCTAACTGTATGGTAGACTACACCCTCAACAACCCCGACACCCTCACCAAGTACAAGACCGCCGCTCAGATCTCTGAGAAGGTCCTTGCTGCTGTCGCCGAGCTATGTGTCCCCGGCGAGAAGATCGTCACCATCTGCGAGAAGGGCGACAAGCTCATTGAGGAGGAGCTTGCCAAGGTCTACCGCGGAAAGAAGGTCAACAAGGGTTAGTCAAGTCCCCCTTCTGGCCACCCCTCGAACCTCCCGTTGCTGACCGTGATTGCTTCGCGCAGGCTTCTCTCACCCTACCACGGTCTCTCCGGCCTCTTTCGTCACTCCCTACACTCCTCTGACCTCCGACGAGGCCGAGGCCAACGTCGAGATCCAGGAGGGCGAGCCCATCAAGATCCAGCTCGGCGCCCAGATTGACGGCTTCGGCTCCATCGTCTGCGACACCATCATCGCTGCCCCCAAGGAGAAGGCTTCCGAGGAGATCACTGGCCGCTCTGCTGACCTGATCCTCGCCAACTACTACGCCAATGAGCTCCTCCTTCGCTTGATGCTGCCTCCCGGCACTCTGGCCAACGGCACTGATGAGGAGAAGGCCAAGGCCAGCGCCGAGAAGGCCCCCAGCCAGGCCAAGATTACCAGCTTGCTCGAGAAGGTCGTCAAGGCCTACGACTGCAACCTCGTCGAGAGCACCACGTCATGGCTCTTTGAGCGCAACGAGATCGAGGGCAAGAAGAAGATTGTTCTTGCCCCCGCCGAGGGCACCAAGGGCGACGGTACCCCCGAGATTGGTGAGGTCTGGGGTGTCGAGATGGGCGTGAGCTTGGGCGCTGGAAAGGTCAAGACCTTTGACCAGAGAACCACTCTGCACCGCCGTACCCTCCAGACCTACGGCCTCAAGCGCCCGACTTCCCGCAAGATCCTCAACGAGGTCCAGAAGAAGTTCGGTACCTTCCCCTTCAGCTTGCGCCAGCTCGAGGATGAGCGCGATGCCAAGTCTGGTGTCGTTGAGTGCGTTCGCGGCAACGTTTTCCGTGCCTACGAGGTTGTTGGCGACAAGGACATCTCCCCCGTCGCTCGCTACCTGACCACTATTGGTAAGCCTCCCGATGGAGTGCCGTCATCATCCCTAGGCAACCAGCTAACTTTTGCGCAGCCATCACCAAGAACGGCATCACCAAGCTCGGTGCCCCCCCGGCTCTTGACCTCAGCAAGGTCAAGTCTGACAAGAAGATCGAGGACGAGGAGATCCTCAAGATTCTTGAGCAGCCTCTGTCCAGAAATACCACCAAGAGCAAAAACAAGAACAAGAAGAAGAAGAAGCCCGCCAAGAAGGCTGCCGCTGGTGAGGCGGAGGAGGAGAGCGACGAGGAGTAAGCGGAAGTGGAAAAACTACAGTGACTATCAATAATGATAAAGGGGGCGGCCCGATTTTGCGCCCACAAAAATTCGTTCGTGAAAGTCAAATGCGTGAATTTACTCCTTGGACAAACGATAGGGCCGTGTGGCCATGGTGAGGCCGGAAACAGGTGCGCTTGTCCTTGCTATCCGACGCTGGGTGGCTGATGGGCTTCGAAACTGTTTGCCGGAGTGTCAGCGAAGCGACGGTTCTCGATGAAAGCCTCACTGAGCCGGCTTGATTGGCAACGCGGGAAGTCCCTGAGGCAGGCAGCCCTGGATGTGCCGCATTGTTGGCAGAGGATAGGTCGGAAAGCCTGATGCCCCGATGCAACAGCCCCAACAAAGACAAGTCATCTGCACGCATACGCGCATCTCATATACCATTCCACTGAGCCCGTTTCCCTAACCGACCCGGATCCCAGTGATCCCCAAGCATCAGCGTCGTAGGGGACGTGTGAGAACAAAACTGCTGATATCCCGCATGGTTTGTCGCAAAGTGATGATGTCTGAGAACGGAGATGGAACAGGGGCGTTTCTGCCGATGAGACCCAGCACGCCAGGAGAAGCCGTCGGCCGGGGGAAGAGAAAGTTGGCCACGAGGATGAGTGGAACAGAATGCCCAATTCCAGAGGTTGCCCGTCGCTCACCCTGGTCGTCGTCGATACGGTAGAGACGCGGACCCGCCCAGGCAAATGGCGACTGTACCGCGTGGTGAGCACCCGCACCCGCAGCAGAACCCAGCCCCCTGGGTGGGAAGCAAAGTTGGATCCCGAGTATCCAAACTTCGTTTCTCAGGTCGAGCGTCGGGAGGAGACCCAAGTAGGTGAGCTCCTGAAGATAAAGAGCCCTCCCGTCCCGCCATTCCTTGAAACCGTCTACAGAGAAAGTAGATGTGTTCGTTCTTCGAGAAACAAAGATCAAGTGACGTCCTCGAGTCCATCGCCCAGCAGGTTCAAGAGGAAAAGGAAGGAGGCGAAGAAGACAGTCCAATCCAGTGACAACGGATTGACGCCAACGTGCAGTAAGCTGGAAACCTTATGAGCGCGTCCAGTGAGGTGAGCCGGGTGTGTAAGTCACAGGGCCAACAGCGAGGTCAAAGGCTTTGGCATGCTGTGGCATCGAACTACTGGCTCCCAAGAGCGCTGTGACTTGGCCCCCCATCCCCCCTGCACTTCGCCATCTGGTACCCTCGCAGCCCCCCCCGTGCCCACCGCCCACCGCCGTGGTAAGGTAGCTTTGTAGGTACCTACACTGCACCGTAGCTCCTTAGCCCACACCACCCCCAGTCCGTCGACTCCGAAAATCCTCGAGACCAATCCCGCAGCTCGGCACCCTTTTTCTCTCCCATCCCTCCTTCCCACCAAGTTTCTCGCGTCGCAAGTGGAGGGAACGCGCCTAGAACGCATCACCGAATGCCTTCCAAGACCAGAGAAGTAGCCAACTCCCCTTTTCCTCTGCAAAGATACGAACTAACGCGATTGCAGGCTTCCGACTCGGAGCGTTTGTCAGTCTGGTCCAAGGCAAGGAGGTCAGGGGCCGCCGCAGAGAGCCCTTCCGGCGAGAAGAGCCCTTTCGACATGATGCCGACGAGCACGAGAGCTACGAGGTCGCGATTCTCCAGCCCGCACCAGCACGCCAACGGAGGGGGTGACTCTGCGAAGAAGTCGTCGAATGCGCCCAGTGCAGCGTCCAAGACCTTCTTGCAAAAATGGTTGGAGCCCGCAGTCCAGAGCAAGCCGAGTTTTGAGGAGGCAGGATTGATCCGATATGGCGTGACGGAGAATATGGCGCCCCTTGGGACCCTCCCAAAGGCAGGAACCACCAAGAAGCAGGGCCAGGAGGGTGCGCAGCAACCTGTCAGGAAGATCATCATCAAGCCAAGCTCAGCAAACTCTGCCGCGGCCGCCGCAAGTGCGTCGGCACCAAAGCGCTCAGAAACACCTCCTCCGCCACTCCCCTCACCACCCATCGCGGCGACGAAGATGGGCAAAAAATCGTTGACGATCAGAGGGTTTGATGACGACGATGAGGACGAGGACTACACGCCCAAGGCAGCGGCGGTGAAGAATGCGGCGACTCGCACATCGCTCCCGCGCAAGAGCCTCTCGCGACCATCTGCGGGACGCCGCCTCTCAGCGTCAATTCAACAGCCCTCGGCACCTTCCAGCGATGCCGTGCAGCCTCCGCCTCGTGAAGCTACGCCTGAGCCTACTCCTACTCCGGATCCGACTCCTGAGAGCAAGGAGTCGGTCGAGCGCGTTGTGGAGATCGCGGTTGATGAGGCGCTCCGGCATTACCGCTATCCCACTGCGTGGGCACTGAGGACCCTCTACGATGAAAACTCTGCGAACCCAACCTTCCTAGCCATGTTTGAGGACGTGTACAATCAGAAGGCTGACGCAGACACTCTGGATGAATTCGCTCGCCTTATCGAAGAGAAGAAGAAGGAGGGCAAGAAGGACAATCAGGCATGCTACTTTTTCGTGCCCCCTTCCACCAACTCGCGCTTCACCCCTCACAAGCCCAAGACAGCACCCTACGGCAGGCTTCTTTCTCTCGATGCCAAGACAGAGAGCCCATCGCCGACAAAAAAGAAAGGAAAGCGGCGGAAGGAGCTAGAATCCCCCGTCGACGACGCGGATGAGTCAATGATGGACGCGGAAACAGCGACTTTGGGTGTCGTCACGCCCTCACGCAGGCGCGCCCGAAGGGACTCAGCAAGCAGTGATTCTTCCCTCTCGGAACTGTCTGCATCGCCATCACTGCCACCAGACTCGCCATCTCCCAGCTCTCCGCCCATTCCCGTCGGATTTCGAGTCGTCAGCCACAGTCGCCGTCACAGTGCCACGACGGCTACCACGGCTGCTGGGGCCGACCCCGAGACCACCACAACCAGCGCAGCACCGCCAACCGAACTCCAGCCAATTAAGAGACGCGGCAGATCCCTTGCTGCTAAGTCGAGCGTGTCTGACGCATCCAACCCAAACTCACCCACCCTCCCCCCAAACGCATCTCAAGCTGCAGGGGCTGGCAACATGCCTGGTCGACTTTCCTCGCCCATTTTCCCCAACCTGTCGTCCACGGCCAACACGACCACGACAACAAAAGCGGCCGGTAAGAAGAACGCCAGCAAGGACAAGGCACCGCGCATCTTGCCCAGCGATGATGCCACGACTTCCCGTAGGAGAAATGCACGCGACAGCACCATCAGCCAGACGCCCCAGCCAGAGAGCCACATTCGCGGATCAGACATGAGAGGTAGAGCAGGATACGTGTTTGCATCTTCGCCAGCGGTGCATCTTCGCAAGTCAGCCAGGACGCCGGCTCCCAATCTGAGCCTGAATTTGAACCTGAGCGCGAGGACCACGAGATCGGCCAAGAGGACGCATGATGAGATAGACAACAGCTCTCCGACCGCGCCATCCTTCATTGAGGACGTCACTCCGACGGCGAGCTCAAGAGCTGCGACGCCCACAAACCTACGCCCTACGAAGAAGCAGCGGACCGGTTTGCGTATCAAGACTTCGTAAGTTCATTTTTGCCCCTGATGCACTCTGCATATCGCAGCTTTTATCCCAGACTTTGCGTCGAAGTGGCATAGTGCGATGAGATGAGAACCCCAGCCCTGAGTGGCGACCTGGGCGGCGTCGCACGGCAGGCGATTGATCTCGTCGCCGTAGCCATCGCATTCGTCCGAAATTTCATCGCAAAGCACATCATAAACATGCAAAATTAAAGTCACTGACGCGTTCCATCACAGTCCTATGAAGAAGAAAGGAGGCACTGCAGCTGGCGTTCCCCGTGCCAGTGGAGAGGGCGGCCCATCTGTCGCCAACGGGGGCCCGACAAATCAGGTGAGTCTACGTCGCATGTCTCTTTTTCATCGTAGCACAAGGCTTCCCACCTCAATCCAAACCATTTTTTCTGCCTTTGGCGCACTCGATGGGCTGGTGGTTGGGATGACAGGATGGGAGCACACGAGGGCATGAGGGCATTCTGCGGGCATGGATCTTGAGCGGCCAAGGCGCACATCCCGACTCAGAGTTTAGCGGCCCCCGTCCTCCCGTTTTTCCCGACCCAGCCTGCACTCCCACCTCTTCATTTCCCGCAAATTGCCTCAGCGAACACATGCTTACAACCTACCAGGACGAGAATGATGACTACTGCTCGGCTTGCGGCGGTGTTGGGGAGCTCGTTTGCTGTGAGAACTGCTCTAGGTCATTCCATTTCGAATGTGTCGACTTGGGCCTGGGCGACACGCTCCCCGAGGAGTGGTTTTGCAACGTCTGTTTCAGCACGAGATACCCCACTAGGGTGCCCGAACACAAGGGTCCCTTTGGAGGGTTGCTGAATGGCTTGGAGAAGACGAACCCGCAAGCCTTCAAGCTGCCTCGGCCAGTCCAGCTCTACTTTGAAGGCGTCAAGATTGGACCTGAGGGCGAGTACGAGGACGTGGTGGTTCCCACTAAGCCAAAGTAAGTGCCAAGTCCCACTGCTTATCGTCACCGTCAGCTGACAATCGCTCCAGGAAGAAGGGATATGAGGAAGCTCCCGACTTCTTCAAGGTTCGGGACGCCGACGGCTCTGCGGTTCTATGCCACAATTGCCAGCATCCAGCAGCAGACAACCGAGCCATCATTCCTTGTAGTCTGTGTGGACTTTACTGGCATCTGGACTGCCTTGACCCGCCTCTGGCGATTCCGCCAGTCGTGCGGACATGGCGCTGTCCGGTTCACGCAGACGACCTGCTGGCCACGCTGCCGGAACAGCTCGCACCAGCTCACCGCTTCCGGAAGATCAAAGGAGCACCCACCATCACCCCTGCTTTTAGCCGCGGTATGAGAAACAACGGCTTCATCGAGATTGAGGAGGAAGAATCAAGTGACGAAACGGGCTGGAGCGACGTGAAGACCTTTGGCCGAGTGTACAAACTGCCCGCCAAGGGCGTTGTGCTCGACTTCATTTCTCAGTCAGTACCGCCTGCGTTGCCTGAATTTGCGGGGAGTACTAACAATTTTCACAGGCTTCGAAAGGATGGCGCAGGCTACATTGCTGGCTCGCAGCCATTGGCTGGGGCCCAGCCACACCAGACTAGCCCTCCTCTGGACTCTCGCACGCTGGCGGAACAGCAAGCGGTGTTCAACATGGTCGAGCTGGCTTCCAATCGGCAAAACAACAAGCTCGACGACCTCACTCAGGCTCTCTTGGTAAGAACAACCGCGACGTCGAGACGGCGTAGACGTAGAACTAACAGATCCACAGATGAGTGCCGATGCAGACGTTCTTTCCATCATGGCGCGTGGCAGCGCCGAGAACTTTGCCAACGGTGACTTGAATGCCAATGACAAGCAAAGTCTTCGCGCCATGCTTGCTCACATGGAAGCCATGTCTGACCGCATCAAGAGCCTGCTTGGAGGCGGTTTGCACGGCGTTGCTGGCCCGGCCCCGATGGCTGCGGACGCCGCCACAGCCGACGGCAACACCACAGACGTCACACAGAGCGTGGAGGGCGATGTGACTACAATCAAGAACGAGTCCGTTGAGCCGCCGGCTGATCTGCCTACCCCGGCGACGACGACACAGGACAACCCGGAGCCGGCCAGCGTTCTTGGGGAGAAGTCGTCGCAGGAGGTGCCGAACGACGACGACACGACCGTTATGGATATCGATTAGGATGCCAACCACAACGAGACTCGGTCGGTGACAATGGAACGTTCCTCTTCCCCAACCAACTCCGACATACACATGCGACAGCCTAATGACGACATAACCGGCGCGCATGTACCGACACTGGAGAGACACCACGACGTCGTCTGACAAGAACGGCACGACGATCATGTTGTATTCGCCATCGGTATTCTCTATTATTTTCCCTTTTATTATTATTGCCCCTTGATTCCCAAGACACGACCTTTCGCACGGATACCGGAGTTTGGAGGAATCGGGCATCAGCGATTGAACACAGGAGGACCTCTCCAAACACACCACACACACACACACACACACACACACACACACTCAACGTCATAGAAAGAAGCACAGCGGTCTAGTAAGAGAAACGAGTTCGCACACATTTCGAGCGCAGGAAGAAGGGTGGCATTTTGAGTCTTTTCATACTTTTTTTTGAGCAAGCACGGCATCGGCAGTATGTGCTATCCATAGCGTTGGGGGGAAGGTGAGAATGACAGGTAGCCTGGGTATACCGTGCATATATCGATGGAGAAGGAGTAGTCAGTCGGGTCGGGCTCGTTTGCGCGTCCCCTCTCTCTCTACGGTCGTCTTGTATCATACCACAAATATCTTACACTCGTAATCTCTTCCTTGGGTTCCTAGGTTAGGTATGGGTAAGGCACACAGGAAGGTAAAAGTTTTGAGATGGCACAGAGGCGGAGGTGAGAGTGAGCGAGTGGATGGGGATGGCGGAGGGGGCATTAGGCATCGAATAGAATGCTACACTACACACCGCATCAATCAAGTCATGCCCCTGTGACATGTGGCCCACGTGGTACTGCCAAAACCAGCTTCTTGGCTCGTTCATGACAGAACCCCCTGGTTACTGCTGGCTTAGAAGGTTTACCTGGCTCTTCTTCACTTGGCGGGGTTGAAACTGGACAGACACCATAAATAAATGTGATACACAAACAGGCACAAGGACAGACAGGCCATATGTGTGTGTTGGGAAATACCAATAGCTTTTACTACAATGCAAACACTACCTCATGCTATCTATCTATACAACCCGGTCAAGAGCAGCTTTTGGTGCCACCATGAACGGGAAGGAAGTTTCGTCACAGCCGTAATCGAATGAAGAAGAAAAAAAAAGACATACTTTCGAAAGCCATAGGACACCCTTCCATCCCCACCCAAGGTTTCTACAAGAAAGGAAAAAGAAGGGAAGAACAAGAAACAACAGATGCTGCTGCTGCTGCTGCTGCTGTAAAGCTCAGAAAAAGAAGTGATGACCGCCCATCGTTTGAGACTCCGATTGATGACTTTGCAGTACCTGGAAGCAACACACATTTTTTTGGGGGTAGGGTTGGTTGTTTTTTTGTGGTTTTTGGTTTTGTCTGACTTCCTCGCAAGCGCGGGCTTCAGGAGGACGGTCTGCCGCCCGTCACCCACCGCCCGCTCATTCTATATACCACGCCACAAGCAAAGTGAGGGTAGCAATAGTAGTGTTGTAAAAAGAAACAACTTCCCAGGTGAAGATCAGGAAGGATGAAGAGCCATTCGTGGAGCTGCTGGAGCCCACCAGGTGAATCGAAGAAGAAAAAAAAATAAAACCCTCTCTCGTTGCTGCGACCACTATCCGGGGGCAGCATTCGTATGTGCCCTTGTCTATCATCGAGACATGGCCCCCTCCTCGATGGGAGTGGCTTGCGCATTTTCCTGACACATCGGGCGGCGTTTACTCCTGCAAACATTCTTTACATGACGACCCAGATCCACCAAACTCCTGTGCCGATTCCATACCAAGCCATCCTTTACCAAGCAAAAAGAGCGGCGTGAGCCAGTCAGACCGTCCCTGACCAGCATTTCGTCTGTACAATTGGCGTTTGGATCACCTCTTTGTCATCAGAGTTAGTGCTGCCTGGGGACACCGATGGGGGTAGGTAGGGGTTGACCTACTCGGCCACGTCTTCCATTGACCTGCTCCTGTTGCATGTAACCCATGTTCTGCATGCCGCCACCCATGTTGCCGTAACCAAATCCTCCCATGCCTCCCATGTTCATACCAAATCCGGGAGGTGCGTACGGTGCCTGGCCGGGAGGCATCTGAGGGATCTGAGTCGCCGGGGGCTGAATAGGGCTACCGTTGGCCAAGTTCTGGCTGCGGTACTGGTCGATCGATGGACTAGGGCTGTTGTAACCGCCAAATCCTGCCTGCATCGGCGGGAAGAAGTTGTTGATGGGAGGGGTTGCGCGGTTCAGCATGTTCTGCTGGTACTGCAGCTGTTGCAAGTTCGCAGGAGCCGGCATCGGAGAGTTCGATGGGTTGTACATAGGGTTTTGCACACCATACGGCGGGAACGGCGGCATGTTGGCGTCAGCAGGCTCGTTACGCTGGCCACCAAAGCCCATCTCGTAGTTGGACGGATTGACAGGCGCGTTGAGCGGGTTGTAGAACTGCTGCTGCTTGTTCATGTGGCCACCCTGCTGATGGTGGTTGTTCAGGTTGGCCTGGCGAGAAGCCGGTCGCTGGCGCTGTTCATTATTGTTCGAGTTGCCGTGTCCGTGATCACGAGCACCTCCGCCGCTGTTGCGTGTAGAAAGACCAACCTCGTCCATCAAGCGCTTGTAGCCTTGGCCGGGCTGGGCCTTGATACGAACTAAGACATTCTTGACATTCTCGACCACCTGGCTGCGGATGCTCTCGTCGAAGAAGGGTGTGGTGAGGACCTTGAAAATCAAGGTGGCACCGCAGGCGTGGTCGCTGAGGATCGCCTCGAGAATCTGGTCGTTAGGCGTGAAGAACAGAGCCTTGAGAATGGTGTCTCGTGCCTCCGGCTCGGCCTTCTGGTTGATGACCTTCAAAACCGTGAGGTAAGCGACCTTGTGTGTGCAGAGATGGACGAGGCAAGGGACAAGCTGGGGCGACAAAACTGTCCGGCGCTGAGGGAACGTGCAAGTATCCAAGAACCAAGTCAGAAGCAGGGCTCCGTTGGCGTTGGTGGCGAGCTGCACGCTGTGCAGGGCGATGGCGGCAGCAAGCATGCGCTGCTGCTCCTTGGTGGAGTGGTGGCTCTCCAAGCAAGCGCGCATGGCACGAGCACCGTAGCGGCCTTGAGCAACCTCCCACATGCGGCTAAGCATAGTCTCGAAGATGAAGTCATTGTAGGGAGCGCCAAACTTGAGGCAGCCCTGGAGCACATAGTTGCCGTACTGGTCCAGGAACAGGGGGATCGTGTACGGTCGCAGGTGCTCAACGATCAAGGACATCTGGCGAGGAGTCTTGCAGACATCGATAATCTTCTGGGCAGCCCAGGTGCCGTTCTTGTGCACGCCAATCTCGGCCATGTGAGGAGCAATCTCGGCAAGCATGGCATCCCGAAGGTCGTCGGAGCAGTGCTCGAAGAGCTTCTGCACGACGGTGTTGCCCAGATAGTCGGACGACAGCTCGGCAATCTCGGGAAGCATGTCGAGGGCGGTCGTCTCGATCTCGGCCTGGGAGAGGCTCTGGTTGTCGATCCGCTTCCTGATGTCCCTCAGTCTCGGAGCGTCGTGGACGCGGGTGTGAGCAGGCTCCCGAATAGGGGGGATCTCGTCAACAAAGTTGTTGAACTGGATAGAAGACTGGAGGCTGCGGGAGATCTTGGCAGAGTCCTCGTCAGAAGCCTGGAATTGCTTCACGATACGGAGGATGTCATTCGTCATCTCAGCCAGAGGTGGCACGGTCGGAGCAGCATTCGCTGGCTGCGCAGCCAGGGGCGCGCTGTCGGCGGCGGCGCCGGAGCCAGAACCGGGTGCGCCGTCCTGGTTCTTCGAGAAGGGATCGGGGCTGGGGGACGGGAAGACGCCATCGTGGCCGGGCGTGTTGGAGGCAGATGGGGGCTTGGCGAAGTTGATGCGGATCGGTCCAGCTCCAGGGAAGATCTCCTTGCCATTCATGCTAGCCTTCGCCGTGATGGCGCTCTCCATGCGCTCAAAGTTCACGAAGCCGCAGTTCTTGTGGGTGAGGACACGAGCAGACAAGATTGGGCCGTATGACTTGAACATCTCCGTCAAGGTTGACGTTGTGGTGGAGGTGGGAATGCTGCCCAGCCAGAGAGCGCTGGTGGGACCTTCGAGACCTTGGTCTTCGGCGTTGAGGAGATTCGCGTTGCGGCTGCTTGACCGTCCAAGGTTCATAGCAGCGACGGCTTGCGGCAGATCGTCAAACTCCTTCTCATCCGGCAGACGGATCTCGGCGGGCGGGATAGCACCGCCCATGCCAGCATTGCCAGACATGTAGGTGCGCATCAGGCGGGAGCCAGGGGTGTCCAAAACGCCCGCAGTGCGGGCACGAGGACGGGTCGCTTGGTTGGCAAAAGCTTGCACAGCCAGGTTGTGGTTGTGAATGGCCGCATTGGTTGCCGCAAGCTGGTCCTGGAGGTGAGCGACATATTGGCTCTCCAAAGTCATGTTCTCCTCGAAATCATCCTCTTCCTCGTCAGCGTACTTGTCCTTGTTGTTGACCGAGTAGGAGCGGAAACGGTTAGCCTTAGTAAAATCGTTGAAGCTCGGGATGTACGGAGTCGCCAGTTGCGCGCGAGGGGGCTGCGGTGTCTCAGCCAGTCCCAGGTAGTCGAGCGTCCTCATATGGACATCACTCTCACCACCGCCTTCTCTAGAGATCTGGGACTGGGTCGGCGAACTGGGGCCGTTCGTAGAGCCGATGCTAGCAATGCTTGCCAGTGTCATGCCGCGATCGCGACCGGTTCCCGCGGGGTTCCAGCTGCTGAAGATGGAGGGTCCAAATGGAGAGCTGGTACCCGGAATTTGAGCAAAGGGGCTACGCTGAGGCATTGAACCGGCGCGAAGACGGGAGAGCAGCGCGGAGTTGTTGGAGGCGGTGTCCGCTGGCTCGAGGCCTGGGGAAGATGACTTGAAGGGGCTGTGGGAAGGCGTGGGCCGAGATGACTTGGGAGCCATCGCAGGAATATTGAGCAGACCGTTGCCGACACCACCGGGAG